TCGATTTATCTGCCATTGAAACCTACAGAAAAGGATCGATAAACAGGGTATTCGCAACGAACACCTTAATAATCGATTCTTTACCACAGCTTCAAATGGGGAAATATCGATAATCGATCCGGTGACGTGGTGTGCTTTGCGATCTATCGATTAATCTGTCCTTTAAACCTACAGAAAAGGATCGAAAAACAGGGTATTCGACAACGAACACCTTAATAATCGATTCTTTACCATAGCTTCAAATGAGGAATCGATAATCGATCATTAGCGCCTCGCCACTGTCCCGAGTTCGAACAGGGAAACTTTCTGCTGTGGAGAGCGGCTATCTCTCAGCGCCCACAAAGAGGGCGGAACGGAGGTTAAAAACACATTTGCAACACTGAGTGGTGCTTATGATGTTTTATCTGTCGTGTGGTGCTCTACTGCTATCTCGAGAGGGTAAATACTTGGCAGATGCCCTCTTTTCGGCTGAGTACGTCCGCTGTGAGGCGAATCGAACTGTAGAAATATCCAGCGCTCCTCGTTTGAATTATGATATGAGCCGGGGACATTTTGCTATCAAGATTTTGCCGTTCCGTAATCGTAAAAATAAATAAAAATGGGTCAAGAAAAGAAAAAAAGGAAAAGGAAGAAAGGAGAAGAAAAAAGGAAAAGAAAAAAAGGAGAAAAAAAAGAGGGAAAAAGGAAAAAAAGAAGAAAAGAAAAGAAGGAAAAGAAAAAGAGGAAAAGAAAAAAAGGAAAAGAAAAGGAGGAGAAGAAAAGAAGGCGAAGAAAAAAAGGAAAAGAAAAGAGGGAGAAAAAAAGGGGGAAAAGGAAAAAAAGAAGAAAAGAAAAGAAGGAAAAGGAAAGAAGAAAAGAAAAAAAGGGAAAAAACAGGAGGAAAAGAAAAAAAGGAAAAGAAAAGAAGGAAAAGAAAAAAAGGAAAAGAAAAGAAGGAAAAGAAAAAAAGGAAAAGAAAGGAGGAAAATGAAAAAGAAGAAAAAAATCCCAACCTGAGAATTTGAGAATCGCGTCAATTTTGCGAGCCACCACCTTCAGTTCGCTGGAGACTTTGATTGGGAATATTCAACCAGAATTTAGGTACCTAACTGCACTTTTCGTGGCAAATTTGGACCGCGTTTAACAGAAACCGTGTGTCAGTAATTATGAGGTTAGGTCATGGAGCTTATAGGGCCCAAAACGGCAGGCAAACTATGAATTAAAATTATCCAGAGTGATTTATTATTACAGTGAAGCTCTTGCATTTGTCAGGAATTTGCGATATGAGTACTAATTCTACTGTAAAATTTCGCGAGAAACACGATGGTGCCACTGGTTTTCTCTGAAATTGACACCAAAGCTCAAAAAAAGCTCTCAAAGTTGAGGCCGTATTGGTGGGGATATCCTACGCTACCGCGAGAGTCCAATCAAGTCAAACTCTCCATGCAACGATGAGGGGCAAATAAATTTATAGGGTTGTCAATTTTAGGGAACTCCAAAACTGGAAGCATGGCAACCCTTGCTAATGTATTTGCTTTCTATCTTTGCACCGAAAGTGTCTTGATATAAAAGTGAACTTTTGGGGTAGCCCCTCCATTACAGCCTCAACTTCGAGAGTTTTCTTTGAGCTTGATTTCAGAGAAAACTAGTGGCACCATCGTGTTTCTCGCGAAATTTTACACAGGAATCAATACCTAAATCGCAAATTCCTGAGACATGCAAGAGCTCCAATATCGCTGCGTCACCGTCCGCTTGCTGACTGCAAAAATTCGGAGTTACGGTACATAACCCGGGTTCTCGGGAACAAGATGTAGTCTGGAAAATTGGCTCTAAAAACGGCGATAATCTCCACCCACAAGTTTAGCCCGGCTAAAGCTCGGCGGACAAACTCGTTAACACCTCTAGGGAAGCCGTATGAAAGTGGTCTGGCAAGTAATTCGCTAATCTCACTTGATGAGCGAACATGATCCGCCCGGTGCAAAATTCTCGACTTACGAGGGAGGCTGCTGGCTTCTCCCTTACCAGACAGCCAACACACCCCCTATCACGGCGGTCATGCAATTGCGAATTAACCCCTATCTCCACCCCCCCTTCAGACACCATGGCCGGATTTACCTACTTGCCGCCCATGGGCCGCCTATATTTTGCCGCCCTCTTCTCATTCATTTTGAAACATCAATATAAAAACCATCAAGTGAACGTGCCGGAGGGAGAAGGGTGCATTAGACGCGTTCACTCGTGTTGGATAGAGTACCTGTATAGGGAGAGTAGCGACAGATCTGAAACTCCGAAAGTCCATCAGGCCTTCACCGATGCCTCCGCGAATAAAGTTAGGGCCCAAAAGGGCAGCCAACCTATGAATTTCGAATGTCCAGAGCGATTTACAAATACAATTGTTACGAACCGTCGTTTAGAAAGCATGTATTTGGTTTACTTTTTGCATAAATTTACTTATTTTTGCGAAAGAACGCTCATTTATATACATTCTTAGCCATCTTGGTTAGAATTGAAATCTGTAGGCTGGCAGTGAAATTTTGTGTGTTAGAAGTTGCTCAGAAGGGTGGCTGCACTTTTGGGCCCTAAGCCCTCCATGAACCAATCTGTCGCTACTCTCCCTATACAGGTACTCTAGTGTTGGACACATTTTTTGCGTAAGCCCTGTCAACACTACTAGCAAAAGTTCACGGAACTTCGCGCGAAAGTTCAGTTCCGTAAACCTATCTCTGTGGGGACAAGGCCTTTCATTTGTAAGAAATGAACTAAAAAATTAAGAAAGAACAAACATAAATGTGGTTTAATAATTTTAACTTCCGCTGCCGTGCCGCGCTGACCGCACTGTGTTTGGCGCAATGCGTGAAGTATTCATGTAGTCTTGTAGGCACTGTGCGCTTCACGCCGCGCCCACCGCTGTTGACCGTACTGTGTTTGACGCAATGCGTGAAGTATTCATGCAGTCTCGTAGGCGCTAATATGTGTTACATGCCGACCGCCGCGTCGAGGGCTTCTCCTTTGCATATCAAGTCCTCGTCATCATTTCTCTTTGCGTCGCGCCGCTCCAGGCCAAATTACGTGTTTGGTCTCTCTCTTAACTCAACGAATTAAAGGTGCGCAGTCTTTTGTATCACCGAAATACGACAAAATTAGAAATTGAAGAACTCTCAGGAAATGAGAGATTTTGTCACCTTTTCTTGTTTGTAATTTTTTTCTGAATCCGATTTTTTTGTACCTGCATTTAAAAAAATTGCAAAATTTGCCACCCCCTAATTTTGCCGCCATGGGCCGCGGCCCATGTGGCCACCCCCTTAATCCGGCTCTGACAGACACCAAATTTCCCTTCTGTAAGATCGGTTTTATCGTTTCAGCGGGTCAGGTTCGGTTCGCTGAAAAATCTGCCGTGCTAAGGCATAGGGTACTCTATGTGCTAAGAAAGAACGCCATACAAGCATTCTGCTGTTGCCAAATTTCCTCCGACAAAATGTTTATTTTTGAGAGAAGTTATGCATAATTTTTTTTTGTTGAAAATTTCAGATAGGTATTTTAGATTGAATTGTGCGAAAAATATTCTGAAAAATTGAAGGATAGGTAAATGGACCGCGTTCAACAGAAAGGAACCAAGCCACATCAGCTATTGTCAAATTTAACCAGGCAATTTAATTTTTTACGAGAGAAAGTCTGCGTGGATTCCTTTGAAAATTTTACGGAATTAGCTTCGTACTGTGGAGAAAATTCACCAAAATTTGCACGAAAATCTGCACAGCCGTTTTCATGTAAAAAATTAAATTGCCAAATTACTTCAAGTTGGCAACAGCTGATGTGGCTTGGTTCCTTTTTGTTTGACGCGGTCCAAATATTCAGAATTTTCCGAGTAAATCCGTTTATTATTAAAGGGTATATAAAAACGTCTGAAGGCTCATACGGCGTTCTTCCTTAGTATACGTAAGAAGTGGACGTATTTCTGCTGAACGAAACGTGTTGGAAGGATAGGGTGTGCTCATGGTGAGCTGCATAAGATACATTGTAAAAAGGGGGGAGAGGGAGATTCCTTTTGGGGAAACGGAAAAGCTGGATTTCATAACCGACAAACGGGACTGAGTGGGGACGGGAGATTTCCTAAAATTCTCCCTCTATTGATCATAACGTCAAAATTTAGTTAGAGCAAATGCGGAAATATGTAATTAAGTAAAACCTCAGTGAGCTGAGCACAGAATAAACTGGATTACTTAAAGCAACCTGTTAACTGATCACTAAAGGGAGTATAAGGCTCAACAGAAAAAACTTGGAAACAAATAGCACTTGATTTGCAATAGGTAGTGAGACTCGGTATGATTGCGTAGCCAGCACGCAAGTTTAGACTTGAAGGATTTCAGGATTTTTTAAAGATCCAGTCTATTCTCTGACAATTCCTGGTTTCCAAGACCTGAAAAAGCTACAGAGTATGGGATAAAATGGTGATGAAACGGAGCTTGCTGTGGACTTTGACACTTAAGCTCACTTCCGGATTTTAAGGAACATCCCTTCCGTCGAACTTTAAATCTGGACTTCCCATTTTCCTCATCCTAGATCAATAAAAATATGAATTCTCAAGGTGCAAGAAATTAATGCTATTGATGATACTATTTTGTTCATTGTTCGATATTTGCTATTTTTGAAATATAATCGTGCTGAAAATAAAGAATGCATCCAGCGCTCCAACACGAAGTGTGTGAACTCAACACCTGACAACAACCAAATAGCATCTTTGAGTACCTATAGTACTGATGCCATATGTGCACTTGTGCCTTGTGTCTGAGATTTTCGGAGCATACTGCAGCTGATGCACACTGACTTCAACACATGGTCTAAACCAGCAATGAGTGCACATATTTCAGGGGGAAATATTTACTCTATATGAGACATTGTATGAAGTGGTCCACTTTGATTTTTGAAGTAAAATATATTTGCCTCAGTTCCGTCGAAAATGCTGCACCCGGGAGGTGTACAAATAAATCTAAGGAAGATAATATGATAGGGAGGAAACTTACCAACTGCTTCACATACTTCAGCTTATAATCCAGATGAGAGAGTACGGACACCAGAATTATAAATTCGGAAATAGTTACACTGAAAACACAAATGATAAACGTGGACCGGCACTTATCAGGTATGAATTAACGAAAAATAGAGGAACTTCGCTGAACACAACAGTAATGAGGTTAGAGCCGGCCGAACACTATGAACACAAAAACGCTGGCTTCCCGACGGAAACGTATGGTAGATAAATAACAAAGCGAGATTTATTACGAGAAACGGTAGATTACGAGTGCAGAAATTCGGAACACAAACACACAAAAATCTGGAGCGCACAATTCACGAGTTTCGGCGAAAGTTTCAAAGTTTCGGTTTCGTCTACCACAGCGGTGAGAACTTTGAACGAGGTCGTAAAGAACTAATCAGGCAGAAGGCGGGGAACATGGAAATAAAAATACTTTTATCAATTTACACGTTTCAACACACACAAGCGCAAGCGATGGAAAATGAAAACAACGAGACGAGACAGAGAGAACTTCCAGCGTCGCGACGCCATCCACCATATTCAGTATCACAATTACGTCATTTTGGCGCAATTTTTTTGGATGAAGCTCATTGGCTAATTGCCAAAAAGCTATCTACGCTGTCTTTGTGCGCAGCGTTTTGATTGGCTGATTGACTGTGATTGTTTGGTGTGACGTCAACAAAGTACTTTGGTTCATTTCCATTCATTCCAAATGGTTGGAATTAATGGAATCCATAAAACCGGAAACTGGTACCGGCAAGAAACGGAAATCCATTTCGGCGGAAATTTCAAATATTTTTAGTAGAGGACCTTAATTTTTACAGTCCTGCTCGTGAATCTTAGGTCATTCTTATAGCTTGATGTAATTTGCCAGTATTGATTTGCCCATGCGTAAATGATTCGTTTTTTTCTGCCTCATATTTTAAGGCTGCAGAGAGTATTACATCATTAAGTATTTCATCTCACAGCCGAACAATAAAACGACAAGATGATGTTACTTAGAAAGAAAAAAGCTGCAAGTCAATGAAGTATTAGTGTACTTCCTGGAATTTCACTATTTTTTTATTCTTGTGTCGTAAATCTTCATCCTTTTTATGTCCTTACTTTTGAAATTATTACTTTTTATTTCTTCCAAATTAGCTGAGATCAGGACACATAATGTGAGACAAATCCTTCCCAAAAACCATTAAATGAGATCAAAATGTTTGGTAAAAATACATAGTTTTGAAGAGAAAAGTTTCCTATTTTTTATCATATACTTTTCAATAAAATTATTGATGCTGACCGAGTAAGCAACATAGAAGAGGCTGTTCAAAACTACTCAGTCTAGAGTTATTGATTTTTTTTCATTTGGAAGGTCTACAGTGAGGACCAATTGGAAGTACATAAATAAATCTGATAAATAATTTTAGACATAATCATAACGTTATTTAAAGTTGACCCTCTCTTTGCAAAATTAAGTAGGACTTCAGAGAGAAAGTCCAACCTTTTCTTGCTAGAGATTTTTTGAAAATTCTTGTTTTGCAATTTTCAACTACTTTGGAAGAGACACTGGTTGTCCAGAGACTCACGGAGAAAAATCTCAGACTTATCAAGGATTATCTGAATGACTTGACTATTCTCCTGAAGACTAGGAGAACTAGTAGATACCAAAAAATACAACAAGAGGAAAAAGTTGAAGACTTTTCCATGAAACTTCGTTACATTCTTCGATTGAAATGTTTACCTAGACTTTTCCTGACTTTAGTTGCATGCTGACACCTTGATGTAGATTATCTACCTTAAGCAGGAACCATATTTTACAATCAGTGGCATGCTTTCTGATACATCCATTGATCTGCTACCTAAACCCATGGAAAAGGATCAATAAACATGGTGTTCTCAAAGAACATCTTTAGAATCGATTCTTTACCATAGCTTCAAAACGGGGAAATATTGATAAGTAATCTATCAATCATTCATGCTTCACCACTGCTTGAAATCAGGATCAGACTTGCATGAAATAATTATCTTTTTTAACTTAAAAAATTTTAAATTTAGCCTCAGTATATATCTTCATGTTGGATCAAAAGTTTCCCAAGGACAATAAAATATCAGGAACAATGCAGTTATGTTTTGAATAATTTAATATGGCATGAAAATAAATTATGTTCAAGTTTTAACAAAACAACCAAACACTGATAACAGAAAAAAAAAAGAGAAAAAAAAGAGGAATCATAATTGTTACCTATATGTAATTAACATAACAAAAGCAAAGAGAAGTATTGAAACAGTTTATAAGTTTACAATAAAAATATACAGATTTAATAGTCAACAAGTACATTCTTTTTCTTACAGTTCCCATCTTTCAAAACAAACTCTGATAGGGCCGAGAGACACCTATATGCACCATTGACTTAAAGATAATTACCTCTGGATAGACACAAGGATTCTGAGCAATTATGTCTGACAGTGCATAGCTACAACTAGCTCAAGTTTTATCGCTTTGGTTCTTGAAAAATTAAAGAGCCAATTCTCAATTCGCCAAAAACAGATTTTCTGAACTTGCATGAGTTTCCAAATTTTTATTCATTATACTCTCAACAAATATATCGATAATTGAACTTGGAAATCAGGTATTTCAATGGCGACACAATTTCCTTACTCCTTTTACTTTTTTTTAAGAGAACAAGCCAACTTTATTGCTTGAAATTTCACAGAATATTCTAAAAACACGAAGGAAAAGTCACAGAAATTTTCAAGAAATTAAATTGATTAATTCACAAAAAAGTATAGTATTGCGAGGAGTCTGGCACAACATAAATTAAGATATCATCCTTTTCTGGCGAAAGTATCACAAGCGCTATTTATGATTAGACTCTATTGTGCCAGAAATCTCCACATTGATTCGATTTTTCTTAAAAACTACATGCTTCCACATGCTTTCACAAATATTTGAAAAATTTGACAGTTTTAGCAAAATGACACCTAGGCACAAATGGCGCTTGTGATACTTTGGCCGAAAGGTGAGCATATATGCTTTACGAGGTTAGCCATCGATATGTGAAGGTTTAAACCCTGACAATTTGGTACTAAAAGGTGCAGAGAGGCTTTAGGACTTTTCTAAACCAAGCGACCTTAGGCATCCTAATCGATGGATTTCAAGTGATGGCATTCAGCACAAAAATTGTATTCTAAGAGCCTGGGAGCAGATGACAACTTTTTCAAGTCTGCAATTCAAAATCTGGACCAGAATTTGGCATTGAGAAGATGGGAAGTGTGGTTTGATTTTCATAATGGTTGCAACTATCAAAAACATCAGATTACATATTTAAAATGAGAATAGGTAATTCAAGAGCAGTTTCAAGCCGTTGCTTTTGAGCTGGATTTTTCCAAAACAGCCGAAAGTTGGAGTTATACATTCATAAGTTTAACATTTTAATGCATGGATTTATGTTTTGTAGAGCAATTTATGTTCAAACAGTGTGGTTGAAACAAACGATGACTTAGAAAAGGATTTTAGACATGAGTTATGAAAAATCAAACTATTACATATAATGCAAAGGACTACGCACACAATACTAAGGAACTCTGTATTGGCTATTTTGAAATTATTTGATAAGATATTTTTTAAGGCCTCATCAGCACAATGAGCTTTTAAAATCAAACTTTCGTCAAGAAAAGCAGGGCTGAAAGGTGAATTTTGCATGCGTTTTCCAGGGGAGGTGTGAGACTGTTGCAATATGTGTGTGAACACCACACTGCACGTTATCATTCTAAGACATTTGATTCTTTTTGTCTATCTTATCTCCCGGCCTGCAAGGATAAAAAAGATCTCCTCCATCACCAATAAGAGTTTTTTAACTTTCCACTAGATATGGAGAATAAAAAGGTTGAATGACTCACTCTTCAGCCTCCTTATATCGAGACTGGCACGTAGGAAGTTTGGTTTTAAAAACTAGTTGTGTTCAGAATGCCCTGAGGGGCATGGTATCAAATGATATCGAAACTAAGCCTCTCTCAGTACTGTGCAAGCAGCCCTTTCATAAGAAATCATCTTGTTCCATAAATGAAAGACAGAGATGAATCTGGTTCAGATTTTTTTAAAAATAACTGGAATGGCTAGCATGCATATTAGAAGAAGAGAGATAATGGTAAAGACAAATAGATGTTTAAAAGAATAAAAATAACAATGATTGCATGGACTTGGTCGAAAATTTAACTTTGAGTGATTGTAAATGCAGAAGAAAAGTAGCGTCCTCATCAAAAACTGAGGCATTCAGTCCAGAAGTATTTGAAAAATATTCAGAGAGATGCCACTTTATGAAAAAGAGTGGAGTGAAAGCGCACAGAGTTCCATTTCTTGCCAAATAATGCAATTTTGGCAAACATACATTTTTATGGCAGCGCAGATAAGATCAAATCATTGACCATTTCTTCCAGATAAGATTTGTTTTCCTAGAAAATGGGTGATTCTTGAAGGGGTTGAAAAGAGAAGATATTTGCTAGGCAATACCGATGACCTAAACTTCAGACGCTTCCGTCTAGGCTTCTCATTCCTGTGGTATTTAGATTAAAAAAGGGGCAAAAATAAATAAATTGCTAGAACTGAGAACTGGAGAACAATGGGATTTTGATGAGTAATCGCCAAGAAAACATCAATGGGCTTTTGAGTGAGACAGAAGGCACTTTTTTCTGTTTCTCCAACCCTTGAAAACCAACTGATAATGCTCGGTCACCTCTTCCTCTCTGCTTCGTAACCATCATTTTTCTAAAACCGGCTTGAAAAACCTTAGCACAAAGGAATTTTTTTAAAAATTGGACGGTTTGATAAAGTTGGGCTTGGTCACTCTTTCATTTTGGAACCACCACATTACAGAAGCATTACCTTACTTTATAATATAAAATTATTAGAGTAAAAAGTAATGCATAACGTCAGAGGCGCGAAACGCTTCCGGGAGGTGGACCGCGAAGCCGTCGAGGGGCGTTGCGTCCTAACTGATATATAATAATTTACACCCCTTAAATTCAATAAATACAGTCAAAAGATGTATTGCATGCTCCTAATAACCATAATACTTGCAATTTCAGGCTTGATTATGATTTTTTTTTTTTGACTCCTTACAAAATCATTTTTATGCTGGTGGTTTGTTGAGCTAAAGATATTCCCGCTAAGATCAAAATTGACTTTCTTGTAACTGAATTTTTTTTTTTTTACTTCACATATGTTGAGAGAAACAGACGAAGTGTGTCAAAGGGAAGTGAAAGATTTATCAAAGAATAGACAACTTAGAGATTCTTCATACAACATGTTCAAAGTAGCTACTCCCGACAGAGATTGAAACTTTTTCAAATGACCTATTAGAATAGAATTGAGAGCATTGTTTTGACAATAAAAACACGACCTATGGAAACACCCCAAACTTGACAACAGAGGCTTCCATTATTTTTCCTAGAAAGAGTTAACAAGAGCTAAAAACACTATTAGCGTTGCAAGGACTTATACGTAGAGTACTCTACCTACAAAATATTTCTAGTGCATTTAACAATTTTTTTTTTTTTTTAATGAGCAGAAGTTTGCTTTTTACAAAATAACTGTACAGGTAAAATACAAAGAAGGTTGCTCAACAAGTTACGGTTAAGGTTGCTTTAACCTTTGCATGGTCTTTGAGAATTATAGCTGACGTTACAAAATTTTGGATATTAAGGACTCTTGAGGTTAGCATGGGAGCAAATCAAAGCCATTGTTACGTCAGGCATAAACTGACATCGCATTTTGTGGCCTTCGTCAACAGTCAGAATTATGAAATATTTGAAGATTTCCTCCTAAAAGGGATGCATTTTAAAGCCTCATTTTCCATGATCTGAACCTGTTGCTTAGTTTCAACCTTTCTTGTTCACAAAACTATGAAACCAGAAAAGTTTCTTCTTTTTTTTGACAGGTTACATTAAGACACCTCATTTTAAAACATTATAAAATTTTAGAAACTGATGTTGGACAATGATTGAAAAAATACAATTTTAGGCATGTACAACTGGTTCCTAAATTGATCCAAACATTTGAGAACTTTTTCACTTAATAGTTGCGCATAGTTATATTGGAAAATCATTGGCAAAGCTTAGGGTGAATCCTCAGTTTACAGTTTTGTATATCACCACATTTGGATGTTTTGAAAATATTAGCTACTATACAAGTTACAATAGAAAACTGAAATTTCAATTAATAGAGCAATTACTGAAGAATGTTCATGTGAAGAAACGAACTTTAAAACCTTGAAATTCAAGTTTAAAAGTACTGAGTAAATTTTGCAACCGTTCTTGATTTGTAGACAATGATGGTTGATTAGAAACAGTATTTTCAACTGAATTTTAAGACTCAGAAAGAGGATTTTCGGCATGAACAATCTATAATTACTGATCTAGAGACTGAAGTTTTAATGTTCCAGAAAACTTCACCTCATTGTTATAATTTGAAATATGTTGATCTTACCCGGAATACAATATGCATAGAATGAGGATTCACCATGATAAATACTTCCTTGGTTAGAGCCTAAATAGCTTAGTTATTGTTTGATTTTTAAAAATGTTGACTAGCATGCTGTATAAACTTAAAGTTTAACACTAATTAACTAAATTTTGTAATTGACGGGTACTGTTGCTTTCGTAGGGCTCTTGCACTAAGTCAAACGAATAAGAAAATTGATTATGCTAGAACTTCTTTACCTTTGGCTGTTTCGGGCGCCCCCTCTCCTCCCAACTCCCCTTCCCCCCCCCCAAAAAAAAAAAAAAAAATTTATGAGGATACTAAGGGAAGCAAAAACAATAGGTAATCAATTTTCACTGAGCTGACTAAGAAAACTTTTTCTTCTTCGTTTCTTTTCTTCAAACTTCCACTTTTTTTGGTGGCACAAAAACACTTACTTTAATCCATCGTCATCTCTCTCACAACTGGACTGTGTGATCTTTTCCCTCTATGCAAGGAATAAAATTAAAACCTACTTCGACTCAAGATAGGTTCAGCACTGACTTGAAGAAAAAGTATTTGGTGTCATTACTGCTAAACACACAATTTTTGTTTGAAAAAAATGTCACAGTTGCAACCTATTCAAAAACTCATGACTCACCATTAACTAAATTCATAAAATTGCTATTGAGTGGAACAATGACGCGTTTGGGTCACAGAATAACCAATTATCTGCTTCCAAATCAAAGAAGATATCGCCATCTTTGGGCCAAAGTATCACAAGCACCCTTTACGCTTAGACACTATGTTGCTGACCATCTCAATATTGTTTGTAATTTTTTTTTAAGCTTTTGCACTTGACAAAAGAAATGTCAAGTAAAATTTGCTGGTGATTTTGCTCATTAGTTTTTCCATAAAACGTTTGAAAAGTCTGAGAAGTGTGGCAACATATTGCCTGCATAAATGGCGCTTGCAATATAACAGCCGCAAGGTGAAAATCTACTGACAACTATGAGAGCACAAATTCCTGAATATTGGCGAGAGACTGAGGGCAACCACAACAAAAACTTTAAGGACTATAAATTCCGTTTGAGATTCTCTCATCACAAAATTTCGAATTTTGATTCTTCTAAAACATCAACAATTGCTAAAATCGAACGTAAAATATTTAAACAAGAAAGATTAGATACATGAAATGTTAATGAGGCACATAGCCGTTCTTGGGAAATTACAAGAATACATAATTTAATTTTTTATTCACATATCACTCTCGACGCGATACTCTGCTCTTGGAATTTCTTAGCATCTTCGTCATTCACATTTTTAATGGCTTGAATAGTAGAGCTTGGCACGAAGAATAATTTTGCTTTAATTGAAAACAAAGCCCTCTTGGCTTATGCTGAGACGAGAACACAATTTCATTTTATCATGATACTAAAAATGGAACAAATAATTTTGTACAGTATGGAAGAGACTACCTCATCAAGAAAAGGTAAATTTCCACAGAATTTTTAGGTTTTTTTTCTATTTTATCATTTTTAGAAAAAGTATAAACTGACATTGTTTATCAATATTCCTATACCATCCACTGATAGAAAACCTCAAAACACAAAAAACTGTGTAAGGAAGAAGAAGAATTTTAGGACATTTTCACAGACTTCATTCCAATGTTTTTTTCAAGTCCATCAGGAAGATTATTGGAGCAAACCCCCTCATTGAAGAAGATGAATAAGATTTAGTGCAGCAAGCTTCTCACGACCACTTGATGGTTAAACTGAACAACCTGAACTAAAAAAAAACCAAATTTCTGCATCAAGCAGTTTCAATTTTTCAGCTACAAAACTTTTCCATTGATGAGGCCCTGCTTTCATCAAAGAGTAATAAATTCACAGAATGGAACTATGTGGAGAACGGTTGAAATGTGTGCGTTTCTTTCAAAATAGTTTTTTATACATCAAGCAGTCTGGTGAGATTAGACTTCCCTAAAGTTTCGAAGCAGCTTAGAACAGCGTGCAAGTGCCTTTTTTTTAAAGCATTAATTCATGAGATAAGACGTTTTCTTAGCTGACACTTTTAATGCCTACAATTTTCCAGCCAACAAAAATCTTTGAATGGAAATAAACAGCGCTGGGCAGAAGGAAATTATAAAAATTTCAATGTGTCCTTTCAACTGTACAAAATTATGCTACAACCAATGTCTCTTATTCTAAGGGCTGTGAAAATATTTCTAATTTTTGAACTTACTACTTGGAAATGACCATTTAAATCTTGATACAGATAATTCAGTTTTGCCTGAATGAGTCCTTAACTATCTATATAGGTACAGTAGCAACCTCTGACTCTGAACGATTCAATCAAGCACATGGCAAAAATCAGACTCTCCATGAGAGAAATCAGTATGTAAAATATACCTGACCTGATATAAATTCACAGTTTTTTTTCAAGTATAAATTGTTGAAAACTATCTTTTTTGCGACAGAGTGTCCTTTGATTTAGGTGGAATGTAGCGAAACGCAAACTGAGCCTTAATCATTATTCATGCGAACATAGAACAACAAATAAGGGGTCGAAGCCAAATTTTTTGATGACTTCATTTCTAAAATCTCCCGGAAGTCCTTCTCCGACAATGTCCGAATTGTGTCGTCGTCACACTCCAGCCATAGGGATTCATGAGCAACACTATTCACTGTCGAATCATTTCGCACCCGAATGCCGCAACAATCCAAACTGCGACATGTGAATGGAGACAATTTAGTGTCGTTCAGGAGCATACTTTGCGTTTGGTGGGTGGAGCGTTTGAAGAATCGCATGAGCCCTGACTGCTTCTCCGTTGTGAGCGGGTGAGAGTGGGATAGAGGGGCGGGTGCAGATGTAAGAGAAGCTGTCTTGCGAGCATGGCGACAATTGACATGGGTGTGACAGTCCGCCGTATCAAGGGCTCGCACATATGCAACATAGTGACCTGATGCAATGGTTGCACCCAGGTGCATAATAACTCCATATAATTGGTAATAGTGTCGCTGCTTGGACGAATCACTGCACGGCCCTCGGGAGCAGTCCTTGCAGAAACAATCCAGGGTAAAAGGCGTTGGCATGTATTCGTTCACTTTTTCTACTCCCGAACTGAAAAATTTGCAAACAGGCGTTAATAAATCAGGCCGATCTAATGCAAACCGAGAGCACGGATAATCTCTTGTTAGCTGTCCAACAAACTTCTTTATTTTGGCTTATGTACGGTGAAATGCCCTAATTTTGCAATGCAATAATACCTCGATTATCCAATGAGTTACAGCACACACCGAAAACGCCAGATAATCAAAATCGTAAAATCACGTAAAACGATTGGAAATATCTATGGAAGAACAGAGGAAACTTGGAAAAATACTCTGCTGGATAACTGGAGCAACAGATCAGCAGTGAGCGGATCAACAAGGTATTAAATGTAATAAAATTGAGGCAAGTTTTAAAAAGATGAAAACTTTTAGAGAAAGAAGAAATTTTCAGAATTTTTAAACTGTTAGCGTTGAATGCACTTACTCTATGTATTCAAAATTAGCTACTTGAAGGCCTAATTTTCACTCCAACATTTGTGCATGGTACTTAATAATTCAAAGACACAGTCCAAACAGGCATTGTAGAATTTCAAATGAAACACAGATTTTTCTTTTCGGATTGTCAGCTGAGGAATATATGATTAAAGCTACATTCTGATAAATGAATTTAAATAATCTGGTAATCAAAATTGCCATTTATCAGTCTAGGAGATATAGGCCGACAAGAGTTGCTAAAACAATTAGCTCCTAAGATGAAGCCTAAATTTTATACACTGACCACTTTCATTACACTACTGTTTTCACAAACCATTAATATACCATTGTGCTCTTTATTTTAGGAGGTATTTAAGTTATTTGATGAATGGTGCTCAGTTGGGATAGAACATGGATTAGCACAATCTGCAGGCTGATTATTCATATTGATAGACAAAGCTTTAGACAAAGAAGACAAAAGGGATATGGAAGGATCCTTTCCAAGGAAAAGAGAGGTTGCAATATACAAAGGAGGTAGGTAATATACTGACAGCAACCCACGAGAAGCCTCATAGTTAGTCCATCATTTTCGCCTTTAGTCTATAGGAACCACCCTTTTCAACCAATAGAGTTGCTCCAGACTCCCTGTGTCTTCTTTGTCTATCAATTTCAATTATCAGCCCACAGATATAGACACATTTAAAGCAGAGGGAATAATGTCCATTTTGACATGAGTCCTGTTGTGCTTCTTATGGATCTAAGAGCTCATGCTAGAATGGATTGAAATGCGCGATTCCTTTTGATGAAAATGCGGATTTCCTTTTGATTTAAATGCGCAGTGATGAAAAACATGACGATTGTACTTACTTGCAAGAGGAGAAGCGCTTGAGCTGAAGGGTAAGGAGCCTGGGCAGAGTTTCATATTCAACGTACCGCTTGGCTTCATTGTAACGACAACACTGCTCGCACCAATACTTGTTTGATTCCACAAGAAACTCATCCATTACAATTGAGTCCCGGTACAGCTGACTCACTCTCTCCTCTTGATCTGTGACATATTAAAAGACAATTAATTCTCCTTCAAATCAGCAATCGCCTCATTCAGGTCCTGCTACGGAACGCCGCTTCGGACCAAACCTAAAACGCCTTGGCAACAGTGCAGTTATTCCCCTCCAACTGTTTCATAATTTGAAAAAAAGATTGTGCGGCGCACGGTGTCCAGTAGAATTTCAATCCATTAAAGTTCGGAGCTCAACGCAGCATTTGAGGCTATTTTCATGAACTACCCTTGACGGTTTAAGGATTGAAATTTCTCGTAGCGCACAAATTTCTTAGAGAAGCACAGAAATATTCAACATCTCCTGGGTGACACTCAGAGGTTTTTCTGCGCCGCTTTCATTTTCTAGGTTGTGCGCGCGTTTTAGGTTTAGTCCACAATGGAGTTCCATGGTCCTGCACTGATAGGTAAAAGGACTGAATATTTTGTTAGCCTTCAATATGCATTTTCCAGAGTTGCCATAGAATTTAGAAAATAAAATTCCCTGTCACATTTTGGTAAACTTCCTTGACAATTTAAAATACGCCAAATAGTTAAATAGGCATTGTTTGAAATAGCTATCATGCAAAGTCTGTTGTTTGAAACATCAAACCTTTTCTAAAACTCAAATAAAGGTGACTTAAAAATTTTCTGGACACTTTCATCATTTTCCCTCTGACTCTTCATAATTCCCTAACATTTTCCAGTATTCCCAGACTGTAGCAACCCTGATTTTCCTGATTGTCAGTTTTCTGAGGAGAAAAACTTCATTAATTTAAAATATCTGACATTTCGTTTCACTTACACACCTTCAGTATATCGACAGTGTAAGTTGGTAACCACATGACTCTGTTTGCCTTGTCGCAGACTTCCTGTCATACTTCATTCTTTAAATGGAAAACTACTCAATCGCAATTCTTACAAACTGGCATGATTTTTCTTCTCTGTGCGAAGAAAATTCTGCAAAAACTTTAAGGAATGATGTCAATTCGTTCTCTTTTAAAAAATAACATAGATGCGGAGATTTTCAGACACCGCAAATGAGATATGCGATTGAGGACTTACGCCGTCGATATGTAGTACTTTGTTGTTTGAATAAAAAGATTAGAAATCTCAACTTTTTCCAAATATTTCAGAATTTTCATTTTACACTCTGAGAATTTCAATCTTTTAATATCTATAGTTTCAATGATTGAAAAAATGCATCACCTCATTCATTGGACTTACCTTTTGCATCATGTTTGATAATAGGTACACAAATATCACAGAAGGTTTCTTGCCGCTGGGTGACCTGTTCACACTCTAAGCAGACAGTGCACTGGACAGAGACACCTTGGAAGTCGTCCGCAATAAAATTGTAGCTCGAGTTGGTGTCTGGCGATGCAGGCGGCGACGCACAGTCCAGTTCACCATTTCCATCTACCTGGTCTGACTTTACCACATCACCGTTCATCACTGGCAACGAGACGTTCAGCTCTTCTGAAGGAAGAAAAAAAAACATTTTGGTATGAGAAGAAACTTGGATTTTTCCATTTTCAAATTTGATTCAAAGCTTCAGGGTGGCCACAAGAATTTAAAATTGGAATTCCCCGACTATTTAAGAAAGTCCCCGAATAATTTGATAAAATGGACCACTAGACAAGGTACGAATTTAAGCATTCTGATACATGTATCTTAACCAAAATTTCACGTAGAACACGATTCGCGCAACGAAAATTACTGAAACCAACTCCTAACGAAGCTATATTAACATTTTTATTTCACATTGGTTACGAGGAATTTGAACTGCCCGCTCACAGGAAACTCAAAGCTCTACGTAAGTCAAATCACGCACTATAATGGTCTCAGCAATCTTCTCAATCGAGCAGTGTTCATTTCCCACCATGTGTTTTTCAAACTATAAGTAATTTGCTATAGCTGAGCCAAAGTGTCAAGATTGAGGTTGCCAGATTTTTTCATCGCAGAGACGTTCATGATAACGTTTACGAGCGATGTGAATCACGTAGAGCATTGAGTTTTCATGAGCGCGTGCTTTGAATTCACGCACCAAGAATCATTAATATCTTCGTAAGGAGTTGATTTCGGTAATATTTGTTGTGCGCATCGTGTTTTACGTGAAATTTTGGTAAAGAAACGTGTATCAGAATGCTGAAATTCGTACTTTGTCTAGTGGTCCATTCCCCGACTATAGAGATAACGCAGGATATACTTAATTATTCACACGATTCACCAAAAATTAATTTGTAACTGAATCAGTGAAAATGAAAATGCACGGACTCAGAAACTTAAAATTGCCCAAATTTCATTAAAGATACCTTCGATGCCTTTAGTAATAAAGTCAAGAGCACTGCTTCTATTTTTGCTATTATCATAAACACCATGTGATTTGATTTACAACTTAGAGTTTGATTGTACTAGAGTTCTCACCAGGTAGGTTCTGCTTCTCCGTTAAAACGCTCTTCCCATTGAAAGAGTTGCTTAGTAGGCTTTTGCCATTTGTGTTGGAATTGCGGTTTTTGGAGCGGGAGAATCGATTGATGGTTTTCTTTATGTGCGTTGATGCCGAGTTCTTGAGCCGAAAAGATGTCTTGTTGTTGGACGCGCGCGTGTGCTGCGTTACAGCTGGGAGCGAATTCATTACTACCGCCTCCTTGTCTTTCAGCTCCATTGACTGTTGCATCTCATGATACTTCATCAAGGTCCGACAAGTCTCTCGAATATTGTCTATGAGACAAACTAAAAGTTCGTGAGCATCATGCTGCTGGTTCCCTTCGAACATAGGGTTTACGTCCCTGCAAAATAAAACACATCGTCAACAGGAGAAACCTAGTAACTGATGCAAAATAATTGATGAGAAACGGCTTAAAATGGGACCGAGGCTGCAAAAATATAACAAAAAACCGGGACATTTTGCAGCTATTACGAGCGCATTTTCAATTGGGAAATTAAAATAAAAATTGAAAGAAAACTCAAATTTACTCAGCCTTACCGAAGTTATTGCGAGTTTCACAATGACAAGTTGAGTAAAATTTAGTAAAGGAGAACCAATAGACATTCTAAAATAATTGAGCTAAAAGCAGTTTTAAGCCTGCCTATTTTCTCTTGATATGGGTGTGATTTGACACATCAAGAAACAAAGCTTTAGACTGAGTGAAGCAGGGACAGAGACTGCCCCACTTTGAAAAAATGGATGAATTTGCAAAAGAACGAGGCCGAGGTCTCAATCATAGAGAGTCCCACATTCCAACTGTTCCATCTGAGATTCAATACTTCTAGACTTCATCGGGTTGGTTTGTTTCAAAAGAGGAATTTACCTCAAAGACTGGAGAAAGACTTCCGGCTGGAATGGCTCTGTTTGATCCTTGAACTCTGAATTGTGAAGAGACTCGAAAAGATCATGAAGCCGCTCTGTTGCAGCTGCAATTTTGGCATCGGTGTTGTTGAGCAAAGGCAAGTCTTTGCTCCAACTTTTACTTCCAATACTACGACCTAAAGATGAAGATTTCGCCTGAAACATTTGCAAACAATTACAGATTCATTTCTAATTAGAAGGGGATATTTCTAGAGATACATTTTAAAAAAAAAAATGGGACGGTTCACAGAAAAAGGAATTTTTATTTATGCTGGCAAAGTTTTCAATTGATCGATTTTTGTTGAGTTGAGACGAAAAATCTAATTCTGAGATTTCAACAAAAAAAATACGCTCTCTGATGTCTACAAGAATCAGTTGCAAACTTTATACTTGTGCCGTTACAGTAAGTTACATTGCATTCCAATCTAGCTACGTTACTCCCTAAAAACGGCAGATTTGTCTGTTCCCCGAAATCACACTAATTAAGCTGCAATTTTAAACGCACCGCACCCCCAGTTTGGTTCCCGATTTTTAGGCTGGCTTTGTCTTAAGATGTTAGTGGAACACTCCTACATGTACTGGTATCAATAACTCAATTCTGAATTTTTGTGGACGAAGCTCCTTTCCCAGAGTTACGTTATAAACATTAAAAATTGATTAAGATAAATGAGGTTGTAATACTCTTGTAGCAAACAGAAAATAAAATATTCGTATATTTTAGAGATTTTACACCAGATAGATTCATGAAATCTTCTCACTTGAAAATACATTAATCAACCAGATAAAAACCACAAGATGTCTCATTCCTGCTTTGCACATTTCACAAGAAGTGAATACTATCTAAATTGCGCGGACAGTAAAAGTAATGGAAATAATTTCTCCCTATGCCATTCAGAGCTATTCAATACTGTTTGGTTAAAAAGAAATTTCATTTTAGCGATGTATTTGAGGCAACTCAAGGCATTCCTTTCAGAAAATATTTCATTTAAATGGTACTGCTTTAATTCATCAATGAATGAACAGCATTTCCATGGCTAACTAACAAGACCACCTATCTGCAAACTAACGATTTTGCAGAATGAAGAGAAAACTTTGCCATTTTTGTAATTTTACAGTTAGATCTGCAATTTTTTGATACATTACAGCGTCATTGAAGTGCTCCCCTAGAGAATTGGAAAAAAACTAAAATCAGTGTAGCTTGCTTGCTTGGTTTATATTGTAGAATACAGCAAAGTTACTAACTGGTTTTTGCCGAAATTGTCGGTTAGGCGGTGTTGTCCGTTAGCCTTTGATTTTCATAACACTATTGATTGGAAGGGGGGAGGGGGGGTTGAATTATTGGTACTATGAAGATTTCCAACAGTGGTACAGAAAAGTCCCAACCTGGCGAGCCGCAACCGGATTGCAGCAAATGTGAGGCAATTTCCAAAGGTGATGCCTTTTTTTTAATGCTCTATGCATCAAAGAAGTTAGACAAATTGTGCATTTTATCAGTAAATCAAGCATTTCGATACAAAATTGAATGTCGAGCTATGAGGTGAATCAAAAATGTGGTGTGGGGCAAAAATGACGGATTGCAGCAAACAATCAGCGTATTGGACCTATGTGGACCCCTGATTTCCAATGATAGTTTCGAAGGTGAAACAAATTTAGCAGCTTGAATGCTAGCTATGAGCCATGGAGTTCCAAAAATTGTAACTTACATTGGACCCCACGAGGCTGGAGCATGGCTTTCCTAATATCTCCATATCTTTCCATAATATCTCGATGTACTCACCTAAAATGGAGTAAACCGTTTAGCTCTAAAATACTGATTAATATTTTACAATTTTGAATTTAGGAGGAAATACCTTTTCCTTGTCAATCCTGACAGGTCCACATTCCTCAAAATTTTCTGGTTTCTGAATTTTGAAGACGATCACTGATACACACAAACTGGGCAAACCAGGGTATCCAGCAATTTTTAGAAGTAAAATTCCCTGATTTCCCGGACGGAAATGACCAAAAAACAGGGAAAATTAAAATTTCCCTGACAGACTGAAGAAATAATTCCCTGACCAAACGGAAAAATATTCCACATTTTCCGACACGGTTGAACTGAATAGATGTAAGTAAGAATTCGTTCATGTTTTAGGAATATAATGTAATAAACAGAGCAAAATATATGGTGCCTAAACTCAAATGAGATACGTTTGCTTTATTTTTAAAATTTAAAAGACATCCGTGGAAATTCTGATAGAATTTTAGTATAGATTCCTTTTTCTGAAACTTGATTCATCATCAATTTTCAAAAAAAAAAAAAATTGATGTTCTTGGATTTCCCTGAGGTTTCACTGACACGAAAATTGCTTGCAAAACAAAATTCACTGTCAATTCCCGGTTTGCCAGGACGCTAGACACCTTACAAACTAACTTCATGCGAGGTCAGAATGCCACTGACCAAGAAATTGTATCGTGAGCATTCTGCAGCCTCAGTTAAAATTTTCATTGTTGACTTACCTTGATAGAGGTGGAGGTGTGTCGACCAGCGATCTCCGCCAAGTCGCTAACCAGGTGGTGAAGGTTGTGGAGGAAAGAGGGGGCAAATCGGAGCGTGTAGAGCACCGAGTTGAGGAAGCACGTATTGCCCAGATTGGAGAGGGTCGCCACGGGAGCAGATGTGGCTGGGCAGACCGAGGGGGCAGCTCCAGACGACGCATTATCACTGTTCGAACTCTCGTCGGGCGAGGAGTTGCGTTGGTGCGAGTGGTGGTGCTGATGGTGCGAGTGATGATTATGGTGGTGGGAGTGGTGCGACAACGACTCCGATAGACCGTACCCATTTACGACAGCGCCAACTGCACAAAAATAAATTTATTAGACACAGAATTTTTACAAGTTCTGAGTGATTAGAATGAGAGAGGTGCATAATAAAAATGAATATCTTAGCATCGACTTCGCCTACACTGTTGTTGGAGTCCTTAAAATTGCATTTAGCATCAGTGATGTTTTATTTTGCCATTTGTGTGAATGTGATAGCAAGTTCATTGATTTCAAAACCAGCATTTATGTGAGGGCGAGACTATGAAAAGCATTAAATATACAAGAGTACAGCCACTAAATCTATCTGTTATCATTTAAAAAAAAAATAAATAAAAAAAACCTAACCAAATTAAATTAAAATTAAGATGAAGATGGAGCTGGAGACTTTAAGCGAGTGGAGAAAGAAGTGATATAAAATGTACACGAAGCAGAAAACACAATCTTTAACAGCAGAGGTTTAACTTTTATAATTTGAAAAAAAGGTGACTTAACAATTTTTCCCTGACTTTTTAAAATTCCCTGACACTTCTCAGTTTTCCCAGACTGTGGCAACCCTGTGAACCCTGAGACAACAAAGCAAAGGATTGAAAATTACCTTCAAAAGCGACAGCCATTAAAATAAAACCTAACCCTTCTTTACACTACAGATCACTTTGCACTGAAATTGAACAATATTTCTTTGCTATCTTAAGATGAAGGATACACAAAAAATACACCAAAATAGTGATAAAGAGAGTTCGTCTTAATGAACACTCAAAATTTACGGATACGTGGACTGGGATCTCCTTGCTTGAATGATCATAATTGAGCATCAAGGGAGAAAACCTGTCATCAAAAGACCACTCAGGTTGCAAACTCCGGCTCCAAGATGACAAAAATATTTCCGTTTATCTCAATTAAACGGAGACTGAATTCCGTTTGGCTTAAGGCAAGTATAAGATAAAGCTCCACCACTTGAAGTGTCGAGATATCAGCAATGAAGAGGTAAATTTAAGATTAGCGTGATTTCGTCATTGCCAATTTTTTCAAACAAGGTCTTTTCCCCAAGACCCTGGTTAAGTGTTGTGTCCTCAATTTCACACAGTGCTATAATCGGAAATTCAAGGCAACAGTGGCATTTCATTCACACCGTCAGTGATTTTTGGATTTGAACTATTGAAAAATACTTCCAAGTGTGAATATTTCTAGAAGCCACCATTCTTTGTTGCCCCCTCACCATTAGAATTGAAAGAATCCCTTACAGAGGGAACAAGTGCTGAAATGTGCAAATTGGCATGAAATTTGAGTTTAGGAGTTGTTCTCTTTGATTTTCTGCCCTAAAAGAACCTGCTTCCAATTATTTTGAAAAGCTAGCATGGCTAAGGGGCTTTTTCTCTGAAAACAGTAAGTGCATAATCTACTTTTTGAACATACTTTTAAACAGAAATCAGCACTATTAAGTTTGACAGTAGTATTTCAACGATTTCAATACACACTGGCTTGAATGTTGAAATAAAATAGAAAGGGTAAGTGATTCGTTACTTATATCAGTGTGGTTTATCTAATAGTAGGGCAAATAAATTTTGTAATATTTTTAGAATCATGTGATTTTTATTATATATCCTCTTACACGAAAGAAATAAAACCATTGATCGAAATTGAAAACGCTGATATGATGCTGAATAATTAATATTCAGCAATTACAGTTTCCTAATGCTTTGGCTCTCAGATGTAGTTGTTCTGTAGCAGTAGCAGTAAGGAAGAAAAAACAATTAATTTTAAGAGCAACAGTTGAAATAGAATCATTGAACAGAAAGACATTTTGCAAAATATATCTCAGGATAGTAGTGGAACACAGTTCTTTGAAATTTCCCAACAATTGAGTATTGCAATTTCTATCCTTAAGCACAGCAAAATTCAAAACACAAAATAACAAGAAACCTTGATAGGAATTTCATCGAATGATGACACTTTCCATCTCGTTTTTGAAGAAGTTTTAACTGAGGTGCTTGGAAACAAAGATAGTTGGTGTTCATATCTGAATACTCGACTTACATACTGTAGATTAGGGTAGTAAAGAACTTACTGTCATGAGAATTAGCCATCTGTTGAGTGAAGTTTTTGGACTTGGGAAAAGTCTGGTTGGCATGGGACCGCGCTCGTTTAGAAGAAGATAGGCAGACTCGTTTTGATGGAGGAGGAATCGAATTCTCATCAGTTTCCAGCACCCAATGTTCCGGTATAACTTTCGTCATCTTCTCCTAACCTGTTGTCAGAAATCAATTAAGAAACATTAGTCCAATTCTGAGCATTGAGATATTCTACAACATACTGTCCTATTTGTAGTAATGGAGTGCTTTACTCTCTCTTCTGCAGGTGTTCTGTGTAGCTTAAGTCTTAGAGGTGTTGTCAGATAAGTCAACCTTTGTCTACTTTCGATTTGCAATCCTGTGTCAGACAGGCTTTAATCGGTCTGATTAAAGCCTGTCTGACACAGGATTGGCTCGTCCTGGAACGATCTCTTAAGAAATAAATTGCATTTTTTGGCCACCATCACCGTGCAGTTAGGTCTCACAACTGGTCCACAGGAATGATTGACTTATGTAGATTGGTCTTGATTTCACAGCTTGAGGCAGCCGAGGCTGAAAATAAGAACTGGATAAAGATGTTCAGAAGAACGCCAAGCTACTAAATCAATTAAGGTATGCATTGCTTTCTATCGAGTTGTGGATCACGAACTCCAGTGAGCAATCATTAAAGTAGGTCTAGTTACTTTAAATAATAAGACAAAACCGTTGTTCCTTGGCAATAAAGTTGAATAAATAATGGATGGACACAGATGTTAAACACATCCCTTCGAGTTGTTGTCACGCTCAATCCAACTGCAAATCCTCGTGAGATTGCATGCTCAATAACTTGGCGGTCGAATGAGCAACTGTCGAGTCCTCCTGAAACTGTCAATCCTACTGTTGATCAAAGAAAATACTAGAAAGTACTCTTGGGTATAGCTAAAGAATAACACCCTTACGCCTAAGATCTGTTATCACCTTTATCTCCGCCCGGGTCGGAAAGGAAATGAGTAGCAGATTGAGAGGAACCAGGGTATTCATTGAACAGTCACAGAGGTACTAACCACAATAAAAGATCACCATTTCTACACTTCTTGGTACCTTGGAGTAACTACCAGACGCACGACCAGTGACTTCAGGGAAGACCAGCAGATCTGCTTGGACCACCCCGAAATTAAAGCAGTATTAGATATGAAATCTGGTTGGCCAACTGAGTTGGCACAGCAACAGATTAGGGCAACTGGGTAGCTGTACGAAATTAGCCCAGAATCAATGTCATGATAAAATCTATTGCTAAGAAGATTCATACATACCGTAGGCTGACAAGTGAGAGAAATCTAATTCATAACCTAAGGCAACAGGAGAGGATTGGGGTGTGTTATCATTAACCTAGATGAAGAAGCCACATCCAACGAGCAACTGAGAAAAAGCAAACGAAACTTGTGAAGCCGTAGACTGCGAAAATCGAATTTCCGCTTCCGACGACAGATTTTTGTTATGGAATTGCTTATCACACCAAAATAAGAGCGGGTAAAATAAAGGCCTTCCACTTCCAAGGCGCGAAATCGGGACACGACGGGGATACCGCGATTAAACAGATTAGGGCGCAAAATACGTTCAGAGATAGATCAAGCAGAATATTTCGGTGAACAGTACGGCGGAGACTGCAGGAAATTGAGGAGTTAACGGCAGAAAACACACTAATTCAGAACAGACAGCCAAAACATTATGTACACTGAGAGGAGGTGAAACGAAGGCTCAACTTACACACTGAACTTGAGAGAATGCATGGAAGTTTTTGATAAAACAAGAAATGATTATCTACACCTTATCGCGATATTTGACACAAGATAATAACTTTGACGTGGAATTCGTCAAAATTGACGGAGTTAGAGAGATTTACTCAGCCGCCATATCAGATTCAAGAAAACACTTTTCAACAGGCCGTTTCTTTGATTGCAAGGCAGAGGGAACTCTAGTTCGGTCAAACATCTGTAGATAGCGACACTTTAGTCTGTGGCGCGATTTTTCAAAATACCGCTGAGCGCTGAACTTCGCGTTCACTGCACCTGTCCTGTAATTTGAAAATTATTGGTGGCGGTGGCCACATGAAAGCGTTTGACAATAAAAAATGCAGATCTTTGTGAGAATCTCGTGAAAAAATAAAAGGGTTGGAAAATTTTCACGAGAATCTCATCTTGCAGGCACTGCCATGAAAAATCACAAATCGACGGTGTACGTCGGCAATAACATAACTCGGTTTGCGACGTTGCAGATTTCCTGTCATACTTTATTTTTTACTGCCGTGATTTTAAGGAATGATGTCAATTTTCTCACCTTTAAAAAAATAACATACAACATAGGCGGAGATATTCATAGACACCGCAAACGAGATAGGTACCTATGTTATTGCGGACTTACGCCGTCAAAATTTGTTACGTTGTGTAAAGTGATGAATGATGACATTTACCAACCTGTGATTTTTTATTCAATATATTCTTACGTTATACAGTACGTTCAAAAATTACATTTTTCACGTAGGTATGTCATGGCCGGATTTACTTACTTGCCGCCCATGGGCCACCTGTATTTTGCCGCCCTCTTCTCATTCATTTTGAAACATCAATAAAAACCATCAAGTGAATGGAGAAGGGTGCATAATACGCGTTCACTCGTGTTGGACACATTTTTTGCGTAAGCCCTGTCAACACTATTAGCAAAAGTTCACGGAACTTCACGCGAAAGTTCAGTTCCGTAAACCTATCTCTGTGGGGACAAGGCCTTTTATTTGTAAGAAATGATGAACTAAAAAATTAAGAAAGAACAAACATAAATGTGGTTTAATAATTTTAACTTCCGCTGCCGTGCCGCGCTGACCGCACTGTGTTTGGCGCAATGCGTGAAGTATTCATGTAGTCTTGTAGGCACTGTGCGTTTCACGCCGCCGCGCCGCGTCGACCGCAGTTGACCGTACTGAGTTTGACGCAATGCGTGAAGTATTCATGCAGTCTCGTAGGCGCTAATGTGTGTTACATGCCGACCGCCGCGTCGAGAGCTTCTCCTTTTCATCTCAAGTCCTCGTCATCATTTCTCTTTGCGCCGCGCCTCTCCAGGCCAAATTACGTGTTTGGTTTCTCTCTGAACTCAACTAAATAAAGATGCGCAGTCTTTTGTATCACCGAAATATTTGTAATATTTGTAATCACGACAAAATTAGAAATTAATGAACTCTCAGGAAATGAGAGATTTTGTCACCTTTTCTTGTTTGTTATTTTTTTCTGAATCCGATTTTTTGTACCTGCATTTAAAAATTGCAAAGTTTGCCGCCCCCTAATTTTGCCGCCATGGACCACGGCCCATGTGGCCACCCCCTTAATCCGGCCCTGAGGTATGTTCATCTTAATCTTCAAGTGGACTTACTGTTAATTGAACAGAAACAAAGAAAACCTCGATCTTGAAAGGAAATCTCGAAAAACGATGTGTAGTTCAATTGAACAGTGCTTTGAAACTTACTTAGATACAGATACATACATTTTTACTCTGCATGCCCTTTTTTGCTTGCCCTCTCTCTCACTCCCTGATTGCCCCCTTCTCTCTATCTCTCTATCTTGCAATAAAATTTTTGTATGTATTCAAAAAATTGTATTAGATACTTAGCGAAAAAATTCATAATTATTGTTGTCATGTATACCTAACAGTAATTCTAAATGTTTCTTTTGGTTCTTAAATAATTGCTTAAGAAAAGTTTTGGTCGATTTCCTTTTGCCCACTGCTTTTTCTAAATCTCACAGGCATGGTATTGCCGATCTTCGTCAATTCCTTTTCCAGATTTTTGGTTTTGTAACTTTTGTTTAGTGTTTTCTTTTAAATAAATTATGCTTCTCTGGCGAATTCTCTCGAAGACATTAAAAAGCGCTCTTTCGGATTAATTCAAGCAAGAGTGAACCTTCCTGTGATAACAATCCATGTTCAAGTTTTTCTAAGTTTCACCCTCAGTAATTCAGTATGCATCATCTCATCAAATTAGAATCATATAAAATCCTCAAATTAGAGCCACACGGAAAAAATTAAATTGATGATTTGACAATTCAATGACTAAAACAGTGACTGCAATGTTTCAATGTAAATTTTACAACAAAAAATGCTACTTTAACCACCCCACCCCCATGGTTAAATTAGCTTACAATAGTGGTTAAAGTAGCATCTTTTTTGTTGTGAAATCTAGGTTGAAATATTGCAGTCACTTTTTTTAGCAATTGAATTGTTGAATCAGCAATTTCATTTTTTCCGTGTATTGGCAGTATGTACTTGGCTGCTGTGGGGATTATGACGATTTTTCTCTCATTCATGTAGTGGTCCACTGCACAAGGTAGAGAACCAAACATAGCGATTCATGTGCTCTCATTGAAAGGATTACACATAGAATGCCAAGAAATTCTGCACATAAATTTTGATTTGATGTTTCTTTTGACCTCATTCGCGCAAGGCCAGTAGGATAAGACATACAAAAAGAATAAAAATCCTTTCAATGCTGAAGGGGAGCGGCTTAACATCCACACCCATCATAATAGTTTCACATTTCTACATGAAGGAGGTAATGCGCATAAGAGAACCGAAAGAGTCACTTTTCAACCTCACTGTTCTCGAGATTGGCACATAGAAGGTTCAATTTTAAGGCTTGTCCAGCTCAAGAGGTCAGAAGGAACATCATATCAAATAATATCAGAAATTCATGGTGTTGTGTGCATGGTTCTTTCATGAACACTACTTGGATTGCATTTTGCAATAAGGAGCCAAGAGCATTCCAATGTTGCTAGGATTGTGCAACTCACATTCCTCGACAAAAATTCCTGAAATCATGCAAAAAATTAAATTTACGAAGATGATTTTCATCTTGAATTTATAGTTTTTTGGGAGTAAAGATAAATATTATTCAGATGATCAGGTTATATTTGAAAGGTAAAAAAAGTTGCACAATCTTAGCGACATTAGAATGCTCTTGGTTCCTTTTTGCAAAATGCAATCCACTTGTTCCTACCTCTATTCATCATTATCTCTAATTGCGATTCGAACTGGTGATCTACATCTAACATAGTACACGTAAAATAAACTTTTAAGAAATTTCAGAGATCTGAGAAGAAGAAAACTGTGAAGGAAAGGAAAAAGTGAAGACATTTTAACCAAAATTATTTTTATTTTTCGAGACCATTTTCAGACATTGGACAAACAATTTGTTCTCTAGACCAACAACTTACAAATACGAAAATAATCTTGCTTCAATTTTGCATTGTTTCGAATCCAATTTACAAAATTTACAGACAAGCTTAAAAAATTCTAGATTATACACATTAAATACACGGAACACTGCGGGCGCAATCACGCTTTACGCTCGATTGTACAACACTTAGAGGGAGCGTAGGTACAGGGATATTTACATAGGAGCACACGGCAGCATAGCCAAGTGATTTCCAGGGTTAACCGAAAAACCTGTGATTCATGGCATGTCTCAAAACAAACCGTAAACTTGAAATTGCAATCAACTGTTACATGTAATTTTAAGTAAAAAACGAATAGTTCATAATTTTTGACTATCCACAGAGATAGGAACCTTCATCATAAAGATTAAGATATAAGATTAGATAAAGAAGACAGAAAATTCTGTCTACATGGAACGACACATTAATGTGATACCAAACTTTGCACGATATAAAATTTTGAAAATCTGTTGATGCTAAAAGTGTTGATTCTAATGGGGATGAGCTCAGGATTTGATTTGATACCAAAAGCGTTTTCGGCTAACCCTGGTTAGTTATTTTAACTACAAAGATGCTCTGTACACAAGCTGTAACATTCAAATGCCTTTGAAATCTTTACAAGTAAAAATATAAATTCAAAACCTAGCTTTAAAATCTCAACGGTATTCTATTATGCAGCTAGGTTGACTTCAACAAAATATAGCTTATTGGTACTTCTGGGAACAAAAAAGATTACATCCACTTCTCTAACATCATAAGATGATGAACTCAGGACCATGATTTTCAAGTAAGGTCACAAAAAAGTCCCTCTTTATCCACATTTGTAATTTTGAGAGACTTCAGAGGATCTTAATTTGTTGGTGCACAAGCATTCTGGAAACCTGACAGTTCAAAATCTTAAAGTTGTTGGTGATGGCTGGAAATGTTACTTTGACTTAAATTGTTGCACACCAACATATCACACCAACACTCACTAATTAAATTCAATGAAAGTTTGTGAAGACAGTTATTTTCATAGTAATACCTCAACTATCCTGTCTTCATTTATTTGGCGCTCAAGTTACCTTGATGTATCCACTTGTGGTCCCCGATGTGTCAAGTGAGCATTTCATGTGGTTTCTTGTGTTTTTATGCTTATTTGATTATCCTGAGTTTTTGGTATCCAGCACATGCTTAACCACAATTAATCGGATAATTGAGGTATGACTATACTATGAAAATTGGTGCTTGTGAAACCCCTTTCTGAGAGAATTTAGTGTGCACATTGGTGGGTGTTATAAGTTTCATGCATGTTTTACACTGCTTTTGATACAAGAATCGGCTCTTACTCTTTGCACTTTGACAAGACCAGAGGAGCAAAAGATAAAGTCAAATCACTTCCTGTTGTTGCCAAACTTAGCTATTGTGGTACTTTTTTCAAAGCACAGCGCTTGTGACACGCACTTTACTCCAATTACAAGAAACTTTTTACAAAATACAAGGCTTGTATCTAATGAAAACTAGTTAGTTACATACATGAGATGAATCTGAAACTAATACAGGAGACTCAATTTTCATAAAAATAGTGCATTCAACACTCTTCCCGAAGGGGAAAAAGACTTTCTTTTTTCTTAAAATAAATTTTACTCTTCATTAGCTTTGAACTAGGTACGATTCAGTGGAATAACTTCACCTATATTTTGCACAAAACCTATTACTATTAGTTTGCCTTAATACTTAAAAGGCAATTGAGAGGAGCAAAATCATTGACCCAAAGAAAGGGATACAAACATAATAACTTGCAGAAGAGCATTTAAAGTGATAAAATCCAAAGCTGACAAATTCATGAACTCTTGTAAACTTTTTGTTCCCAGCTACAAATTTTGTTGTAATTGCACTTAAAAAATTCCCAAGCAGAGCTAACCATGATAGAGATTAAAATCGATGTTTGTCAAAGGTTTTAAAAGACAATTTGAAAGTTTGACTCTACGAGTTACTTAGGTACTCAATAAAACGCACTACAATACACACTGTACAATCACTTACAATGTTGCGACTTAAAAGTAAGAAACTTAAACAAATAATTATTTAAAATCAATGGTACTGAAAAAAAGAACTAACAAGGAAGGAAAAATCTAGGATGAATAATGCTAGAAAAAAAGGGCTGAGTAAAATATAAGTAGACTTTTCAGAAATAAGTAGTCGCGGCAGGTGAACTTTGCAAAACTTTATCATCTAATAAGAGATCGGAAGACTTTAAAAAACCATTACGAGATATTAGAAATCAAGATGGGACAATAAAATTCACCTACATGATAGAATTGCAATAAAAAATGGAGCAAGAAAAAGATTTAGCTACATTGGTAAAAGAATTACACGAGTTCCGATATGTTTTTGGATCCTTAAGATACATTTCTCCGACAGAGTTGGATTTCCAAAGCTTCAATTTATACTAAGGAATGTATAAAAGTGAGCATGGTCACTACAAAATAAAGATATTCTACGTCAGGAATGCCAAAAAACTTATTTTTGCATATGGTGCCATATTTTTTCAACAAACTTGAATGAATATGAAAAATTCTGTTCGACAGTTGCTGAATTTGATGACAAGGATTCAGGAATACATAAAGTATAGATCCATATTGAAAGAGAAGAGTACTGTTAATTATGGACAGAGAAGATCTACATACTTTGGTTTCAGGTGATTCTGAGTGATCCAGGGACTAGATCTGTCACAATGTTGCGCTGCTACATGGTCTGTATCTTTGAGTAGCAATAATTATCGTAAAGTACAAATTAATTCCAGAGACTGATATGATAAAATGACTTGCAGGCATGCAGAGCACATTGAGGTCATGAGTGCATACATTGCTATTCTGTAAAATCCTGATTTCTGAGCTTGTCTTTGCAATTATAAAGCTGGATAACAACAAGGTTTCAAAGTCTCTCATGATGTTTTTTACTGAGTAGAAATGTTGAATTTATCTCCATTACTATTTCTCAAAAATTAATACTCCTTTGATTGATTAAAAATGATGAGCTTTAAAGCTTTGCCGCATCTGCTGAATTTTAGAATAAAATGGGACGTAAAAAATATTTGCAGACACATTTCTATTTCAGTCACTTTTGGGGCTAAATAGCGACTACCAGAGGCAGGATTTTCGATTTTTCCCACTGAAAAAGGCGAGAAAAACTCAACTCTCTCATATTTGGTAAATGCTAATTCTTAAAAAAAAAAAAAGGAAAAGAAAAAAAAAAATAACAGCTACTCAAAGAGTAGCAGTGGTTGAATGTGCCTTTTCATTTACAAAACTTCGAATCAGAATTCCGTAAAACAATGGCTTACAGACTTCACTATCCATTTTGTTCATCTAACTTTAGTAATTAGTTAGACACATGTATTATGACACGAAATGAGTATTAAATCACACACTTCGAATGTTTTTGAGCTTGATTCTGCTCTAAACATTTGAGTGATATTTCAGCTTTATACTGAAGAAAAACAAAATGTCACTCATATTCCATTGCTTATTTGCAAAAATTGCTAATGTTTAAGTTGCGAGTATAGAAGAAGAAAGAAAAAAACAACAACAATAGAGAAATTTGAAACCTAGAAATAATTGTGTGGTGATGAAAGGATACAACACCGCCTTCCCTACGAAGGAATATATCGACGGTGAAAGTCGGCAATCACATAACTCGGTTTGCGACGTTGCAGACTTCCTGTCATACTTTATTTTTTAAACGGAAAACTACTCAACGGTAATTCTTTAAAACTGCCGTGATTTTTCTTCTATGTGCGAGGAAAATTCTGCAAAAACTTCAAGGAATCATGTCCATTTGTTCTCCTTTAAAAAAATAACATAGTTGCGGAGATTTTCAAACACCGCAAACGAGTTATGTGATTGCCGACTTGCACCGTCGATATCTTGATTGTGCTGTTACAGTATTCTTTTCTGACATTTTATTTTTTCATGGGATAGTCATCAATCATCACATGAATTTGCCTGGAATTGTTGGTAATTTTTCTTTTCACGTGTTGAGAAAAGACACAAATTTTCAGAAAAATTTGTGCGATGGTTCTCTCATGGAAGAATAAAATGCTTGTATGAATACTAAACAGCACAGACAAGATACGTTCCTTCGTTCCTGCGACAACAATAAGGGCCTACTAAGTTATTATGAGAAGAAAAAAAGAGGCAGAAATATCTTCATCAATTAAAGCTACTATTGGTCAAAAACACAAGAGGTCATCGCGATTGATATACTTATTTGACACAAAATAAAATCTTTCATTGAGAATCTTTGATCGTAAGTCAATTAGATATTCACAGTCCATCACATGTCAGTTTGATACTAATTAATAATTTAAAGGTGAATCCCTTATATTCATAATTCGTTAAAGCAATTTTAGACTTCAAGGGTCTCTAAGTATTTTTTAAAATTTAAGAACCTTCGATGAAACTAATGGAACAGTATACAATTTTTTAAGTGAAAAAAGTACACAGAAAATCAAATAAAATTAAAAGGCCAAGCGGCAAAAATGGAACAAAAATAGAAGTAAAACTTAAGTAGAAAATAAAGGAAGTCTGAAGAGGACGTACAAAAAATAAGAGAGTGGTTCAAGGAATGAGTATAAATGCTTTAAAATTATAAAACACAGAGAAGAACATTGAATTCTGATAAATGCTGCAAGCCAGATGCAAGACATAGCTGTTCAACTGTTTTCAAAGATTTAGAATTCAATGAGAAAATTCTTCTCCCATGATTAAATATAAATAAGAAAGACATGAATCTTAACTTCAGGGAATATAGAACTATCCGTCAAAATTTGATCCTTTTACAGAAGAGAGAGCCCGGCTCATTGCTTGAAATTTTTACACAGCATTTTTCAACAAGGAAAAGAAAATTAAGAGGGTTTTTCAGGGGTGATGTTGAATTATTTTCAAATTAAAGAATAAAGTACTACCAGAAATTCGAAACCTAGCAAAGCATAATTTTCAGTTTCAAAATCATCTTGTTGGGTGCTTTTGAGTCCAGTTTTCATCTCTTGATATTAAGCAAATTTTATTTAAGGTTCCGAACCTCTCAAGAAAGTTCTGCCCAATTCAACCTACACTGTTGCCGACAGATATGACCATTCAGACCCATTGGTTTTCCATGGATTGAACCTTTTTCAGAACCACTTTGTGAGGCAGTACCAACATTACGCACCAACGTTGTAATTCGTCAGTTCCCGAACCGGAAGTTTCAAACTCAAATAAAATTCGCTTATTTTCGCTGATGATATGACATGAATTCTATACTTGATTTAATCATGAGAATGACAACACGGCATTATGCTCTGAGGCCGAGAAAAGGAGGCTTCAGATGCAAAAATGATGTAAAATGACAGGCATTCAATTTCAAGTACATTGCACATGTATCATTTTGACAACTGAGCTTTCAACAGGATCTCACAGTTGTGATAATGTGGAAAGGAAAAAGGTAAAAAATAGAAAAAATGAACATAGTTAAAACACGCGCACACACAAACGCACACACTATGATGGCAGTAATTGCAGATTTCCCCAGTTGTGGAAAACATAATCTCAAATTGAATAACCTAACAATTTTCCTATCAAATGTACTTGTTGTAGCTCTAATAAATTATATCACACCTGTAACAAAAAAAAAAATAATATGATAGATGAGAATGGCAGATAAGAGATAGATACTGGAAAAGATAAGACCAGATCGAAGATCGAACTATGAGGAGCGCTCAATACATCTTTGCAGTTTGCATCCTCTGTGCCTTTTCCACAGAAATGGACCACTAGACTAGGTACGAATTTCAGCATTCTGATACATGTTTCTGAACCAAAATTTCACGTAAAATGCGATGCGCATAGCAAAAGTTACCGAAACCAACTCCTTACGAAGATATTTAATGATTCATAATGCGTGAATTCAAACCGCCCGCTCATGAAAACTCAATGCTCTACGTGATTCACATCGCGCGCTAAACATTCATCATGATAGTCTCTGCAATATAAAAATCTGGAAACCTCAATCTTGACGGTTTGGCTCAGCTATAGCAAATTTCTTGTGGTTTGAACAACATGTAATGGGAAATGAACATTGCTCGATGGAGAGGCTTGCTGAAACCGTTGTAGCGCGCGATTTGACTCGAGTAGAGCTGAGTTTCTTGTGAGCGGGCAGTTCAAATTCCTTGTAACCAATGTGAAATAAAAACGTTGAAATCTTCGTTAGGAGTTAGTTTCAGTAATATTCGTTGCGCTAATCGTGTTCTACATGAAATTCTGGTTAAGAAACATGTATCAGATTGCTTAAATTCATACCTTGTCTAGTGGTCCATTGTTCAATTTTCAAAAATCAAAGATATTTGGGAAACTGATGATATCCCTGACATTTCAATGTAAATTACAATTCGTTTCATGCACTTGCGCTTGAATGCAGAGTGTTTACATCTTCTTTGGGCGTATAATCTCTTGCCGAGGTTGCGCACTTTTTTTTGGCGTTTGAAATGCAAGTTCTCTCATTGGAAAACAGATTCATAAGTATAGAACTTGGATTCAGCCATAATTTGATAAGATGAGACATTCCTTTCACTATTTGATAGAGTTTTCTCCCATCCTAACCAGATTTAATGGAGGGAATCAAGCACTACAATGCTGAAAGTATTGGATTTCGAGGTATTGAAGAATTTTGCTCAGCAGACTGAGACAGCTTCAAAACAGTGCTAGCTCACTACTCTCAGCCAGGACATTCCTCAAAGCTGAGTTTTCATAAAAGGTGAAAGTACTCGGTTTGACTCGACTCAAAATCAGAGTACTTCCACACTTACCTATTGCAATGGCAATCTTAGGACTGAGAAAATGACACTTACAAATCAGACCTTATGCTGTCGCATGTTGAAAGCATTCCGATCACTACTATATGCACCAGCGTACAATTCTGGTCTACTATTTACAGGAGGCGCCGTTGCTGAAAAACAAGAAAGAGCACATTAAAATTTAGTAAAGTGAAACGAAACAGAGGAATAAAATTATGATATGATTTATGTCTTGCAAAGGGTCAATTGTGCTATCCACAAAGTAAGTTAAGATTTACCCTTGAGCATTGATTTGCGATGATAAATACTGTCTGTCCGAATGCAAAGTTTCAACATCCCATATTATTGGAAATATCGCCCATCTAAAAACTTGGCTTATGATGTCATTCACTGCGGTTGTGCATACCATGGTTTTTTCCACCTTTGTTTTATCCATGTTTTATACCGCATAGCAAGTGGAATAAGTGTATATTGATGAATCCAAGGTAGAAGAAACCATGGTATATCAATGCAACAATCAGAGTTGACAAGCTGTGGTTAAGAAAACGATGGTTGCAGAAATCTATCAAAATTTAAGAATGACAAAGATTTGTTATATTCCGCATTGGCAACATAGAGAAAGGTACAGGGAGGGTCCTAATCCCCCATCAGGTCAGTTTTATGAGGTCTTTTAATTTATGTCCATAGCATAAACGATGCGCCACCATGTGTGTTGTGTGGAAAGATGCCATATGACACGTTTGATTAAATTTTATGCATTTCGATGATAAACAAAAATCATCCTGAAATCGACTAAAAAGGTTGAATTAAGCTACCCAAAAATACCCGGAACAGATTTCCTTCTTGCACAGCCTATGCGGTTTATCATAAACAAAACTTTAAATGCGTTTCTTTTGAATCACCTTTTAGAATTACAGTCTCTCGTTCTTAAATTACAATCTGTTTGCAACATAGAAGTCTTCCTTTTCTTTTGAAGGATGACTGTATCTATTATCAAACAACAACTTTTTTTTTACTTTGTTTCACCCTTCCCGAAGTATTCCCTGGGAATTTTTGTGCAAAGATAAGTGAAAAATAAATGAAAAGTGGAGATTCGTAACGTTGCAATCGGAGACACACATTCATGAACTTGAGCCTTTAATATGGAATTGAGTAGTCTCAGGCCAGAACATACCTTTGGGTGCGTAGTGATGTAAGCGGCTTTCACCGTGGCTGTGTCTACTACTTTGAGCACCAGATCGATGCCCGCCACTGCTTCCACCGTGCCTGTGTGCGTGATGGAAGTGTGGTCGATGCTGCAAAAAAAAGGATCTCCATGAAATTCTTCGCTTTTTAAAATATTTTATGCAGAGACAAAAAACTTGAAATTTGTTTTCAAAATGAACTACAACACACAGATGATGAACTTAAACACACTCTACCTCAACTTTTTCTGACTTGACAAGGAAGCAAACACTGAGCTGACATATTTTGCCTCAACATTGATCTGGCCAAAGAGTCTGTTGCACTGGTCACAAAATCGTGTTTTGATGCTTTGTTCTAGTAAAGTAGCCAAAAATGATACGATCTGTTCAAATAGTAACTCTCTACGTTCAATATTAACCAAGATATCGTGCTTTGAAAAATTCTTTCTATGACGTCATCTACCTCGGTGGTGACACCCTTGGTTTCTTCCAACCTGCATTCATCCGAGTTTCACGTTGAGTAACTGTTGAAAATGTGTGTCTCGTTGAAAGATGAAAGCAAAATGGAAGAAACCGAGGGTGTTACTACCACAGTAGATGACGGCAGAAACCAAATTTTTCAAAATGTGATAGCTCACTCAACATTGAGCGCAGAAAGTTGCTATTTGGACAGATTCCATTATTTTTAGCTAATCTACAAGAATCAAGCATCAAAACACGATTCTGTGACCAGTGCAACTGACCGATTCATGGAGAATCAATAAAATAAACCAGTTTTAAATCACCCTAGTAGCACAGATAGCAATAAATAGCAGTTACATAGTAAAAATATTGCAATTCAACTGAGTGTTGTGTATGTTGCCTAGCTCCTATTTGAAGGGGCCCCATTTATTGAAACTTATTGCAATAAGATTTAAATAAGTTGTTATTTTTCATTGCATTGCATATTGCCTACCTTTTTGACGTATGGAGCTCATTTTGTTGATGATTTAAAATCGGCATAAACCGAATAAATCATATAAAAATATTGAAAGGGGTGGGTGCAAAATCGACAAAATTTCCCCCCTCATGGATGTTGACCAAATTTTAGTATGTCATTTTTCACTATGGGATACGCCTTTTCCCAAAATTTCACGGCCTGAAACGAATTTCTCTCCGCGTAGCAGCGTTGCCAAGTTGAAAACCGTCGAGTTCCATATCTTTTGAACGAAAAGAGATATTGAGATGCGGTTTGCGCTAAAATTCTCCAAAAATTGCGTTCTTTCGATATATGTACTCAATTTGATCGTTTAGGTAATTCAAGATTGCAATGATGCCATTTTTCACACTTTCTTAAGGGTCAATTTTTTTTCAACCCTAGTACATCATCAAATGCCGGATTCTCGATTCGAAAAAAAAACTGTTCATTGTATTATTCGTACTTTTCCATTTCTTTTGATATATTATAGCTCCCAGGGAAACGATTAGTAACGGAGATATGAGCAATCTAAGTTTACGCTCCGCGCGCGCCGACCGGAATCCGGGCGCCGCTCGCCGCTCTGAGTCGTCTGCACACTCCCTCTCTTAAGCTTCACGAGGTCATTCCTATGTATTTTTTTGCGTACTTTCCATTTCTGGCCTTTGAAAAGGGCTCCGATGAATTTTTAGGGGCCTCGCGGTCCATTGTTGCCATTTTTTGCTCGTATTTAGGGTTTTTTCCCTATTTTACTCACAATTCTACTGAAAAACTTAATTTAAACGGAAAACTGTGTGCGTTGAGGGAAAGAACGTAAAGAAGAAATAAAAATTCATGTAAAAATTTTTCCTTCGTTGCCAAATTTGCGAGAAAAATCGTACTAAAGAGCCAAATATTTGAGAAATTGGATAAATCCCCACGCCATGGTTTATGAAAGTGGGGCATAGCTTTCATATTGACGTACTTACGTAACAGATCTTACCTATCTATACAACATATTAAAAAAGCATAGTTGTATTTGGATTCCCACGATCTGAAAATTGTCCGGGATGTCACCTTTTGCGGTCTTTTCTTATGTGTAAGGTAGATCCTTTGAATGTTTTTCGACCTTAAGTCATCCTCCGTAGGGGTGTATCGTATGTATTTTTGCTGTAATTTTCATTTTTGAAAAGAACGTAAAAAAGTACATTATTAACGTTCGTAAGGACTTATTATTACGTTGCCAAATTTTCAAGAAAAATCGTCCTAAAGTGCCAAAATTGGATTAATTATGACAAAGATGTCGCTAGGAAAGTGAATAATGACTTCGACTTAATTTTATAATTATAATTTTAAGTATGACTTAATGCTACGGGCCACTTCCCCAAGATGAGAGGCAGAGAGGCTGCATGAGAAGAGAAGCCCACAATTGAGGAGCATTCCGGAAAAAGGGCACATACGCGTATGTGCTCTCTATCGGAGGTGACAGAAATGGATTCCTTGCATCCTAATGTACCAATGCCCCGAGTTTCAGCTTAATTGATCAATTTTTGGAGCTACGAGACCACGTTTTTTGAGGCTAAGAATAAGTCAGGGGTCACAGACGTATTTCATCTATTTGCTTCTGGGTACTTTCGCCGCGACGTTTAGGAGATAGTGCGCGGGCAGGCAGGGAGGTGTTGGGTACTGATAAGGATCCCTCACTACAGATGCATCGCACTGATTCTGCTAATCAATGCAATAGCATCGGGTTGCAGGGATTGTAGGGATTCTCTACGCGTTGCACCAGTCACACGTGAATTTTTTTAATTATTAATGATTTATTTTTTATGGTCTCGTGTGAGATTGAATTTTTCGATTTTTTCGCGTGTTTCGCAGTCTTTTTCATTATGAATGATCGAAGATGATCCACCTGCGCGTTCTCAATCGAAATTATTATTTATTAGTCAATCGGAATTATTTACTCTTGTTTAGAAACTCCGTTGAAGTCTCGAAAATTCAGCTTCAAAAGCCAAACCCTATGACCACTGGTCCATTTCCAGGAAAAGGGCACATAACGAATAATTTTAAAAAATTCTTCCCACAACACTGGAAGAAGTGTAAGTTTTACCAATGACCGTTATTTATTCTGGAGTGTATGAACGTTGATATGAGTGCCCCAGTTCCGATGTATGTCATCATCAGTGGCCAGAAAGTAAGAATGAAAACTTCAAATGCGTTTTTCTCACAACACGTTTTTTCGGTATGTGCCCTTTTTCCGGAAAAGCTCTTCAATTCTGCATGAAAGTCATTATTCATTTCCTAAAACCTTCTACGTTCTACGACATATGGTTATGATACACCCCTACGGAGGATGACTTAAGGTCGAAAAACATTCAAAGGATCTACCTTACACATAAGAAAAGACCGCAAAAGGTGACATCCCGGACAATTTTCAGATCGTGGGAATCCAAATACAACTATGCTTTTTTAATATGTTGTATAGATAGGTAAGATCTGTTACGTAAGTACGTCAATATGAAAGCTATGCCCCACTTTCATAAACCATGGCGTGGGGATTTATCCAATTTCTCAAATATTTGGCTCTTTAGTACGATTTTTCTCGCAAATTTGGCAACGAAGGAAAAATTTTTACATGAATTTTTATTTCTTCTTTACGTTCTTTCCCTCAACGCACACAGTTTTCCGTTTAAATTAAGTTTTTCAGTAGAATTGTGAGTAAAATAGGGAAAAAACCCTAAATACGAGCAAAAAATGGCAACAATGGACCGCGAGGCCCCTAAAAATTCATCGGAGCCCTTTTCAAAGGCCAGAAATGGAAAGTACGCAAAAAAATACATAGGAATGACCTCGTGAAGCTTAAGAGAGGGAGTGTGCAGACGACTCAGAGCGGCGAGCGGCGCCCGGATTCCGGTCGGCGCGCGCGGAGCGTAAACTTAGATTGCTCATATCTCCGTTACTAATCGTTTCCCTGGGAGCTATAATATATCAAAAGAAATGGAAAAGTACGAATAATACAATGAACAGTTTTTTTTTCGAATCGAGAATCCGGCATTTGATGATGTACTAGGGTTGAAAAAAAATTGACCCTTAAGAAAGTGTGAAAAATGGCATCATTGCAATCTTGAATTACCTAAACGATCAAATTGAGTACATATATCGAAAGAACGCAATTTTTGGAGAATTTTAGCGCAAACCGCATCTCAATATCTCTTTTCGTTCAAAAGATATGGAACTCGACGGTTTTCAACTTGGCAACGCTGCTACGCGGAGAGAAATTCGTTTCAGGCCGTGAAATTTTGGGAAAAGGCGTATCCCATAGTGAGAAATGACATACTGAAATTTGGTCAACATCCATGAGGGGGGAAATTTTGTCGATTTTGCACTCACCCCTTTGATGGTAACAAAAATTACAATGGTATTGAAATCAACTTGCAATTTAATTTCAATATTTTCGTTGCACTGTGCTACTTGGGCACTGCTAACAGCAAACGCTTTTCATAGCTCTTCCCATGTTTGTATTTATAAATCTTCAATTTGATGACGACTTTCCTAATTTTTCTTAAATATTAGAATGAAATCTTGAAGGATCAGCAACCCTCATTGTTTTTTCATTGAAAACGGTTTTCATAAGTCGGTGAAAAAAACTAATCTATCAAAAACTTTAAGTTGAAGTAATTGTTACATTTTATAAATCAATAACCATATTTGCACAACTTTGCCAATCAATCAATCACAAAACATCAACACGTATTGTCATTGGCTTTCAGCGCTCTGGCGGCGGCAGCTTTCAAAAATAATGATCAAAAATTCAATTTTCAGGTTGTGTTCACATTGATGACTTACATGTAGTGCAGAGCACATGTTAATCATCGATGTGATTTGAGGATGTTCATCAATTGACGTTTGGGCGTCTCAATCTGATTTATCAATGCAAGAACAATCGGCCTGCAGGTCTGACAGTGCCAATGGGCCTGTTGCAAACTTTTGCTATATCAAAACTAAGATTTGTTTCTTATAGATAATGCCTCAAAAATCACGATGAGCGCATTGGCAAAGTCTGAAATGCACTCATAACTTCACAATCTGCGTAAGAAATTTGCGGTTTTTTGAGCTTCCCGCTTCAAAAACGATACTACGGCACAGGTGAACATTTTGTTAGAGGAGGCGTTCCATCGTCGGCAATATTCATCATGGCCGACGCCAATTCGCCAAAACACGTATGATGAGACGAGATAACACCTGAACAGCATTAGACCAGATAAAAATCGGCGTGTTTACGTTCATATTTTCCTCGCCTGCCTTGATTGACCCTGAACTCACCTCGAATTACGCGCGGAACTGCGGAAGCGTTGGCCATGATGAACATAGCCGACGATGGAACGACTCCTATAACAAAATGTTCACCTGTGCCGTAGTATTGTTTTTGAAGCGGGAAGCTCAAAAAAACGCAAATTTCTTACGCAGATTGTGAAGTTATGAGTGCATTTCAGACTTTGCCGATGCGCCCATCGTGATTTTTGAGGCATCATCTGTAGGAAACAACTCTTATATTTGCTCTAGCAAAAGTTTGCAACAGGCCTATTCATGCACAAGACAACTATTGAAAATTTCAGAAACTAACAATTACGCAACGTATAAAAATTGATTAAAAAAGCTGTTACAGGAAGAGGATTTATAAGACTTGCTGTGAAAAGGAGGCTGAAAGAGTAACTCACCATCCTCCGAAGCGTTGAGATCGGTCTTCGGAGAGTTTCACTGAACCGCCTTGCAGGAGGTTTCTTTGGATTTGAAGAGGGCGTGTGGACTGCGCAGCATTTGATGAAAATACCCATCACAATCACAAACGCAATACTCATAAGTAAACATGCCCACCAGTTCTCCTACAACAGGAAACCGATACATTAAAACATTTATCTGTGTAAAGCGGTAATGGCAGCATCCAAATAAGTGCTTGATCTGCGTACCCGTTCATTTGATAAAGATTTAAAAAGAAGTTTTTAACACCCCAAATTTAAGGAGTAATTTTAAGCTTTATTTCAAACGAGTGAGCATACAAGACTAAAATTGAAAGAAGATAAATGAATCCGATTACTTGTCGCTTTTTCTTCAAAGAAGTGTCATTTTCTGATGAATTTTAGAAAATAATAATACTCAATTCCTCCAAAGCTATTCCAAATGTTTTCTGCGGCATACTTGTGTGGAATTTTTTCCTTCGTCGGTTCTCTCAAAACTACACTGTAACTTATATGCAGACATCTATGATGGTTAGTATTAGGACTAAAATAGGTCCTAAATGAAAGAAAATACTAGGAAAATTTATGATAGAAAACAGATACTTACAGTGACCCAAGAGCGAACTATATTAAGAGTTTCTCTATTTAATAACATATTTTTCAGTCTTGCTAGAGGGCCCTCTGCGTCAACAGCACGGCATTTATAAAATACATCACAGTAACCCTGGAAGCAAACAAAAGCGACAGTATCAAATCACTGTTCGGGAGTTATGATTTAGTTCGTGCAAACGTTCAGTATCGTTGCTTATTCGTGTGTTGAAATCACAAATTTCTGTATACATACATACATAAGAGTCTCTTTCATAGCGCTCTCTGGCGCTCTGCAAAGCTTAACCACTACAAACCTTGGTCCTCCCACAGCCTGTCAAGGAGTTGGCACTCCCTCATTTCATTTAAAACCCCTTGTCGCCACCCTTTCACTGGGCGTCCCCTTTATCTTCTCCAAGGAGGAACCCAACTGAGCATCTTTTTGGAAGCCTCTCTTCCGTCATCCTATTAACACGACCGTATCAGACAAGCTGTTTAGTCACGCTTAAATGTCGAACACAATGTCATTTTCAACTCCCATGATTTGACGCACTCTATCATTCACCGATCTCTCCTAGAAATTCCTGTCGACCTATTCCAGAAATCCATCTCCGTTGCACGTAGCATATCCTGTGTCTGTTTCTTCAGCTGCCAGACTTGACATCCATACGTTAATATACTTGAAATAATAATTAGTTAATTTCAATATAACATTCAGTATAAATCCAACCGTTGCAAAAGATTATTAAGATTAAGTTCAAATGAAATTTTAGGAATTCTTTAAATAAACGAAAATGAAAGATGGAGAGTAGAACACAAATCTAAATATATGTTACCGTGAAAGTACATAATAATCCGTTATTCTATACATTAACTAGTTAATTAATCGCAGGTTTCCTTGTTACATGACAAACTTAAATTCATACCATTAAATGATTTCACTGATCGGTCTTCATTAATTTACAGAATAACCACTTGTTCTATGCAATAACTAGTTGAGGTATGAAGTACAAATGTCATTTCATACTTTACTTAAACCGCCCGTTATTCTATACATCCACTGAATTGCGCATTTTAACAGTAACATATACATTCATTGTAAATATAGGTGAGCAAGCACTAGAAATTCGGGATTCGGCTGCAGGGATGCAGCATGGAAGATTCTAACGGGCTAGCCCTATTGACTGCTGACTATACTACTACCAAATCGCTGCTTTCATCATGGTGGCGAAAATGAAGTGACTGAAATGAGATATTGCTAGGCTCCATGCAACGATGTTACGTTAGTTTATTAATAACCCATGGAAAATCCAATTTTCTGAGAACATCATTCTTACCATTCTTGTACGATAGCGAATAGGACAGAGGCAAACCTGCCATAGCAGTAAAGAGGTAGAGCTTCCATGAACACAATTGGAGAAAATGTTTACCTGAAAATTATCACACGGAGATCCAGGTCGGAGACTGATTCCGCCTGGTGGTAAACCTACAGCTGCAGCAAACTCGGAGGTTGACCGGCAAGTGTCCGGATTGGTCCCGTTCATGCAGGCTAGCTCACACAGTTTGCGTTTGTCGATGTTGGGGATGATATGAGACGTCAAGAAACACTCATGCAGTCCCCACTCAAGACATATTGACCCGGTGCACTCACCGTTGATGCACAGCTACAAAAATGAAAAAGCTCATTAAAAAAACTCGTCAGAAGGTCAGTTAATTTTTACAAAAAGAAAATGTAAATCAATGGAAATTGACAATTTTGAGGAAGATCTGCAGTCTTTAGCTTATTTATTTTTTAAAATTCGATCAATGAATTGAAATGGGACAGCAATTCTAGGAAAATTAAGTGTCTTTTTTTGAAATGTTCCACAGCTTCCTTGGCAAAAATTTTGATTTCCACAAGTTTGGTACTTGCCATCTAGGGATAGGAGCCCAAGGATAGAATTTAGCTCAGCTGCTTCAAACTTTGACTTAGGGCAGTCGAAAAACATCTAACTCACCGATAATATATGATCAGTCAATAATAAGAGGATAGAGATCAATGACCTTAAAATTTAGGATTTGACAAAGGACCCTACAACAAAACGGCCAAATCGGCCTAAACACGGAATCGTACGATTTTCTCAGGAATGATAGAGGGTCTTCCCAGACACTCAAAACTGGTCATATTTTTTGCCNTGAATGTGATGGGCACTTGTTGATTTATTCTCAAATTACTTAGAGTTACACCCTTAATTTAAAATCTTTACTTTCTTCAATTACTTTAATATCTTTAGGTTTTCTAACAGAGAGTCTTCTTCAAGGATTAAAAAAAAAAAAAAAAAAAAAAAAAAGCCCCAGTTGAAAATGACACTCAAATTCTCCATCTAAAAACATCTCTTTGCTTTAATCAAATTATTATCTAATGTTTCACGATCACCTGCCTGATCGCAGCATTCATAATCAAAGCATATTTTCACTCTTAAACCTCAAAGCTGCAACTAATACCGTGCTTACCTGAGTGCCTTCGTTGCAGCGAGTTTTGTTAGCTTTCGGGGGTGGTGGTGGACACTCCGGAGAACGACCAGAGCACGTTGAGCTCCAGCTGCAATCCGATTCTGACTTGCATTGCACGCTGTGCGATATAGGAATAAACTTGCAAGTATTACTGTAACAACATGGTCCTTGTGAGGGACTACACTCTGTGTTAATCCGTCGGCCACACCTACATAACATCAAACGCAAAAAACTTAGTATCTGTGAAAACAAGATCTAAGGATTAAGGCATCGCAAGACATGATTTCTCATCAAAAGTCAGTGTTATATACATTAGACATTTCGAAAATTTCCAAAATGAATATGTAGAAAAGACATTAGCTTTCACTCAGTATAAAATTGGTAAATTCAAACTGTTCTAACTGGATTCATATAAATCTATCACTGATATATAATAAATGATACTGGAAAGAAATGAAATACATAATTGATAAACTGAATCATAAGTTGATTTTATTAAAATCTGTTAAATTTGAAAACTGATTATTTATTTAAATTATACATATTTGTATTAAAATGCCATTGTAATTAATTAATTTTAACTAATATTGGATAACCCATTCAAATGAATCTTATCCTAAGAATTTTCCTTGATTAAAGTCTCATCTCATTGTTAATTTTATTCTAAGTCGTTAAATCCTCTTATCTGCTTCTTGTTGTTCCTACTTACTGTTTTTTCTGTTTTCTCTTTTTCGTTTTTACCTTGTTAACCTTGTAATTGGGCTATCGCCTAATGATTTTTATAAATAAACAAAAATTCTATTTTGGAAGGATTCTCACCCCTTGGCGGTAGTATTTTCTCTATCGTGTTCATTCAATATTCTTGGATAGCAGCACCTATCATTGCACTCATTGTAATCATAGCCGCAATCGCATTCCTCTCCGGCTTCGACAATTTTGTTCCCACAGAAAGCACCCTCGGACGCTGTGAACAAGAGCAACACAATCAGACTAACTTGATGACAAATTGGAATCAGTCACACAAAATTCATTTACAAAGAAAGGAATAGATTCTAAGAGTTAGATTCCTTTCTCTGAATTGTGGAAGAATTTTGCAGGACAAGACAATGTATTCACACAGGGAATCTATTTGCAGCAGAGCAAAATTTACTAATGACTTCAGCAGAAAAATTCTTTTGGCGTGGCTAAGAGCTCACAAGATGAAATTTCAATGAAAGAGAAGTTGCACGACACTCGCAATAAAGAGGTGTTTCTTTCATGTTGGCAACATTACGTTTTTTCTTTTAAATTCTGGTGATATGCTTCATACTTATTGAGGCAGACTGCCTAACCTTGGGTGAATTATTCTTAATATAACAGGCTGAAATGGAAGAAAAACAATTTTAAAGTGAGAATTGCAATTTCTAATGAGTCGTCCCTCGTTCAAAGTGCTATGAGATACATACCCTGTTACTGATGAATAAAAACAAATTGATCTATGTCCACAACAGTCCAAATAATAGTTAATTTCAATTGGAACAGTTGGACTTTTGGATTGAATATTTACCACAAATTTCAGGTATGTTATTTACAATTTTATTTACTTGCGTTGTCATATTCTTTGAGTAATGTAAAAAAAAGATCAGTGCTGCTTTTTATTTCTTGAGAAAACTTATATGTTCTAAGACAAGAAACTTAGAATCGAGTTACAGTAAGTTTGTTGTTTGCTTGGGACAAAAACTGAAACATGTAAATAGGAATTCACAATTTACCTTTGAAGCAGTTTCTTTTCTTCTTATCCTCAATTGCATCTAGAACACTACTAATATTCCCAATACTACAAGATGAAAATTTACTATTATTAGGACGGTCACCACTTGTTGCTGAGGCAAACATGATATAATTGCCATATAGACCTCCAGGCCGACAGTCGAGAGGATAGTCATGAGGTGACCCAAAATTATGACCTGCAAAACATAATTTCAAGAAAGTGAAAATCGGCAGCATTTAATGAAATAAAAAGTTAAAGTAAAAAAATTGAAATGAATCAGAGGTAGCAATAATACATGTAAAAGTGAGGGAAATAATAGTAAATAATATTATATAAATACTGTAAATAAACATTCTGTTTTATAATTAGCGGTGTTAATTAATAAAGTTACACTGGCATACCTTTGCACTCATTTAGGCATTTTGCTAAATTTAACATTTTAATTCAATGGTAATCTTCATGAGCTTTTAGTCATAACTGAACTTCAAATTTCCAATTAAAACAAATTCAACTTTAACTTTGTTCAGTGTTTTGGATTGAAAAGGAGAATGAAGTAATAATTCTGGAAATCTTTTGTACTTCAAATAAAATAGATGCAAGTACCTATGTATACTAACCTATTTCATGCGCTAATGTGAGCTGNATCTTGGGCTTGTTTTAAAGCTTAAACGCTCTACTTTTATTTAAAATTGTTTTTGTTTTGATCCGTGCGAACCGAACAACCGAAAATCTCAAAAAACGAAAATTTACGAAAGGGGGACCTTGTAAAATGCCCCAAAAGTGGGTCAAATTTTAAAATTTAATTAATTTTATACATATATTCTGAAAGTTCTCATTTTTCTGGAAATTTTGACACCAAGATCATCTTTCTACGACAAACCGTTGAGAAGTTATGCTAATTTAAAGGTTTTGACTTTGACCCCCTCTCCCCCCTTTTCCCTGGGGGTTAGGCAAAAAATATGACCAGTTTTGAGTGTCTGGGAAGACCTTCTATCATTCCTGAGAAAATCGTACGATTCCGTGTTTAGGCCGATTTGGCCGTTTTGTTGTAGGGTCCTTTATTCTTTAAGTTCTCCATTAACGTCAGGTGTCAAAAGTACTTCTCAACTTATGACTGACTTTATAACCACAAAAAACTTCAAAATTGTCATGATAACCTGGAAAGGCAAAAAGCCTTAAATCTTGGATTTTCACATCTATTTTTGAATGGTGAATGTGATAGGCACTTGTTGATTTATTCTCAAATTACTTAGAGTAACACCCTTAATTTAAAATCTTTACTTTCTTCAATTACTTTAATATCTTTAGGTTTTCTAACAGAGAGTCTTCTTCAAGGATTTACAAAAAAAAAAAAAAAAAAAAAAAGCCCCAGTTGAAAATGACACTCAAATTCTCCATCTAAAAACATCTCTTTCCTTTAATCAAATTATTATCTAATGTTTCACGATCACCTGCCTGATTGCAGCATTCATAATCAAAGCATATTTTCACTCTTAAACCTTAAAGCTGCAACTAATACCGTGCTTACCTGAGTGCCTTCGTTGCAGCGAGTTTTGTTAGCTTTCGGGGGTGGTGGCGGACACTCCGGAGAACGACCAGAGCACGTTGAGCTCCAGCTGCAATCCGATTCTGACTTGCATTGCACGCTGTGCGATATAGGAATAAACTTGCAAGTATTACTGTAACAACACGGTCCTTGCGAGGGACTACACTCTGTGTTAATCCGTCGGCCACACCTACATAACATCAAACGCAAAAGACTTAGTGTTTGTGAAAACAAGATCTTCAGATATTGTAAGGATTAAGGCATCGCAAGACATGATTTCTCATCAAAAGTCAGTGTTATATACATTAGACATTTTGAAAATTTCCAAAATGAATATGTAGAAAAGACATTAGCTTTCACTGTGTATAGATTGGTAAACTCAAACTGTTCTAACTGGATTCATTTAAATCTAACACTGATATAATAAATAATACTGGAAAGAAATGAAATACATAGTTGATAAACTGAATCATAAGTTGATTTTATTAAAATCTATTAAATTTGAAAACTGATCATTTATTTAAATTATACATATTTGTATTAAAATGTAATTGTATAATAGATTAATTTTACATATTATTGAATAACCCATTCAAATGAATTTTATCCTGAGTATTTCCCTTGATTAAAAGCTCTTCTCATCGTTAATTCTATTCAATTTCATTAAATCCTCTTATCTCCTTCTTGTTGTTGCTATCTACTGCTTCTTCCGTTTTCTCTTTTTTGTTTTTACCTTGTTTACCTTGTAATTGGGCTATGGCCTATTGATTTTTGAAAATAAACAAAAATTCTATTTTACAAGGATACTTACCCCTTTGCAGTAGTATTTTCTCTATCGTGTTCATTCAATATTCTTGGATAGCAGCACCTATCATTGCACTCATTGTAATCATAGCCGCAATCGCATTCCTCTCCGGCTTCAACAATTTTATTCCCACAGAAAGCACCCTCAGACGCTGTAAACAAAAGCAATACAATAAGACTAACGTGATGACAAGTTGGAATCAGTCACACAAAATTCATTTACAAAGAAAGGAATACATTCTAAGAGTTAGATTCTTTTCTCTGAATTGTGGAAGAATGTTGCAGGACAAGACAATGTATTCACACAGGGGATCTATTTGCAGCAGAGCAAAATTTACTGATGACTTCAGCAGAAAAATTCTTTTGGCGTGGCTAAGAGCTCACAAGATGAAATTTCAATGCAAGAGAAGTTGCATAACACTCGCAATAAAGAGGTGTTTCTTTAATGTTGGCAACATTACATTTTTTTCTTTTAAATTCTAGTGGAATGCTTGATATTTATTGAGGCAGACTGCCTAACCTCGGGTGAATTATTCGGAGGGTATGGATTCGATCAACATGAATCAATCAAAAAATGAAAACGTGAATCGATCCACACCGATTCGATCGACAAATTGTTAAAAAACCGGTGTCCATTCGATCGACATGAATCGATAGAAAAATTAAAACGTGATTTGATCGACGTGAATTGATCAACTCACGGGTTTGTCGATCGATTTACTGCTTTTGTCGATTGCATCTCAGGTTTTTCGATCGATTCACGGGTTTGTTGATCCATTCACGGCTTTTGTCGATCCATTCACGGGTTTGTCGTATGATTCACGGCTTTTTTCGATCCATTCACGGCTTTTGTCGATCTATTCACGGGTTTGTCGATCGACTCACAGGTTTGTCGATCGACTCATGACTTCTGTCGATCCATTCACCGCTTTTGTCGATCGATTCACGGTTGTCAATCGAATCAGTGTCGATCGAATCGGAGTCGATCGAATCAGTGTCGATCGAATTGGTGTCAATCGAATTGGTGTCGATCGATTCACGTCGATCGAATCGGTGTCAAACGATTCACATCAAAGATTCACGTTGATCGATTCACGTTTTTATTTTCTGATCCGCTCATGTTGGTCGAATCGACACGGGTGTTTTTAAATTAACTGTCGATTGATTCATGTTGATTGCTTCACGTTTTCATTTTTCGATCGATTCATGTCGATCGAATCGACACCGTTTTTTTAATAATTTGTCAATCGAATCGGTGTCGATCAATTCATGTTTGCATTTTTTGATCGATACATGTCGATCGAATCCATACCCTCCAATTATTCTTATTAAGACAGACTAAAATGGAAGAAAAACAGTTTTAAAGTGAGAATTGCAATTTCTAATGAGTCGTCACTCGTTCCAAGTGCTATGAGATACATACCACGTTACTGATGAATAAAAACAAATTGATCTATGTCCGCAACAGCCCAAATAATAGTTAATTTCAATTGGAACAGTTGGACTTTTGGCTTGAATATTTACGGCAAATTTCAGGTATGTTAGTTACATTTTTGTTTACTTGCGTTGTCATATTCTTTGAGTAATTTAAAAAAAGATCAGTGTTGCCTTTTATTTCTTGTGAAAACTAATAAATTCTACGACGAGAAACTTAGAATCGAGTTACAGTAAGTTTGCTAATTGCTTGAGACGAAAACTGAAACTTGTTAATTGGAATTCACAATTTACCTTTGAAGCAGTTTCTTTTCTTCTTATCCTCAATTGCATCTAGAACACTACTAATGTTCCCGATACTACAAGATGAAAATTTACTATTATTAGGACGGTCACCACTTGTTGCTGAGGCAAACATGATATAATTGCCATATAGACCTCCAGGCCGACAGTCGAGAGGATAGTCATGCGGTGATCCAAAATTATGACCTGCAAAACATGATTTCAAGAAGGTGAAAATCGGCAGCATTTGATGAAATAAAAAGTTCAAGTTCAAAAATTGAAATGAATTAGAGGTGGGAATAAAACATGTAAAAGTGAGGGAAATAATAGTAAATAATATAATGTAAAATTACTTTAAATAAACATTCTGTTACATAATTAGCAGCGTAAATAAATAAAATTACACTGGCATACCTTTGCACTCATTTAGGCATTTTGCTAAATTTAACATTTTAATTCAATGGTAATCTGAGCTTTTAGTCATTACTGTACTTCATATTGCTAATTAAAACAAATTCAATTTTAACTTTGTTCAGTGTTTTGGATTAAAAAGGAGAATGAAGTAATAATTCTGGAAATTTTTTGTACTTCAAATGAAATAGATGCAAGAACCTATGTATACTAACCTATTTCATGCGCTAATGTGAGCTGTGATACTTTAGGTGGCACCCTACTGTTGTAGTTTACGAACGTGATGATACCCGTATTCAAGCTCCTTTTAGTAGATTGATATAAACCTCCGACTGTCTCAGTGTATGTTTTGTACTTCTCACAGATTCCACCAGATGCACCTAGGAAGAAACAATTAAACCTTTATAGACACTCGGTTTTTAAACTCTATAGCTGCGAGACACCAGATTTTCTGCCTTCAGAAAGTTATATTCAGATTTGAGCCCTGAATTTTACTACTCTGTGTGATTTTGTCTTTGTCATTACATTGTTTAGTATTTTTTTTTTTTTTACAGACTATAAAATTTTTTAAGTAAAATTATCTCAACCCTCCGTTCATTTTTCCACTTAGGTTTCTACTGTCTGTTAGAATTATTGATGAAAAATATGATATAATTTGCACTTGGGTTTGTTCTAAATTTTTGATAAAATATGAATGTGCATTCTCAAAATTTAAGCAATACGCATTTTTAGTGTAAATACTGTGGTCAGACAACATCTTTAATACTAACTCTTGNGGGGGGGGGGGGGGGGGACTAGATGAAACATTTATCTAAGCTCTCAATTGTGTGAGAATTTTGGGAAAAAGTTCACGAAAAAAAATCGCACTCAATAAAATTTCAGATCCATTAAAATGAGAGGGCTACTGTTAATTTTGAACACCCAACACTAGTTTTACCCACAGTATTTTGAAAACAGTGGGAAGAATTGAGTGAAGATCACAACTTATTAAAAGGAGGAATTTACCTGTAGCACTGGCAACCCAAGCAAGACCTAGCGTGCCACCGTTGAAGTCCCTGTAGGTGAAAACATAAGCAAGGCAGAAATCTTCATGGTTGCCCAGAGAGTGGAGATTCAGAAAATTTGAGACATCAATGTTTTCCATACAGAAGGGATTCGGTTCTCCTCTATACATTGGCTGGCATGGCGAGTCATCGTCAATCTGTAAAAGCACAACCATGATTAGGCACCAAGAGCAGGACTTTGATTAAAGAGCAGAGCGATATTGCATGATCATATTATTTTTCTTCTCTCAATGTTGGATATGTAGTTGATATGAGAGATATGGACTTGCAATTAGTAGAGAGCTAGATAAACTGATATCGTCACCTTCCCGGCAAAGTATCACAAGCGCCATTTTTACCGAAATTGAGTTATGAATAGTTCCGAAATAACGAGATGCATTTACATACGAAAATAATCATTTTTTTTACAACAAATATGTAGAAATATGAATAAAAGTCGATTAAAGTTGATGTACTTTCGTATCACAAGCGCCATTTGGGAGAAAAGTATCACAAGCGCCAAGTTCGGCAACCGCCTACCTTTCTGATTGTTTTACAATTTTTGTCACGGCAGTCTTCGGAATGACTTGAAACGCAATTATTTTCGCATGTAATTACATCTCGTTATTTCGAATATAATATTTTTTTAGACTAAATATAAATAAATATTTAAAATACTCCATTGAAGTTGACGAACTTTCGTATCACAAGCGCCATGTAAGAGAAAAGTATCACAAGCGCCAAGTTGGGAATAATCGCTCATCTTTGAGATTGATTTTCGATATTAGTATCAACAACTTTTGGAATGACTTGGAGCGATTCGTCACTTTTCGGCCGAAGTATCACAAGCGCTATTTTTATTAAAGTTGAGTTATGGGTAGTTTTGAATTAATAAGATGCATTTACATACGAAAATAATATTTTTTTTTAGATTAAAAATGAAGAAATATGGAAAAAACTCCGTTAAATTTGATGGGCTTTCGTATCACAAGCGCCAATAGATTCTCAGAGTGCCCCGAGAAGCCGATATCACAAGCGCCAATTTTCAAAGAAAAACCCGTTTTTTTAAAGAAATTTTATTAAAATTCGAAGCAGGGAGGTGTGCTGGATCTATATTTCAAGTTTCAAGCCAAACATCCGTCTTTTACGGTCGCAATTCAGTTTTTTGTGTCTCTTGAAAAGTTGGCAAAGTGGCGCTTGTGATACTTTGCCGGGAAGGTGACGATATGAGCTTGAAACAATACGGTATTTGCTTCTAAAAATACATTAGAAAGTTTGATACATCACCTAACAGAGTTTATTACATACCAGAATTTCTTTATGTGAAGAATAACAGTCTCCTAACCGTCTAACTTAGTTTTTCTTGGCGGTTCACTTTCTCTGATCAATCCATGGAGTAGGGTTACTGCTGATAAATATTTAAGTGCATGCGGTTTTACTGTAATTGCTGCGTCTTTATTTTGGAAATATTTTAGTCTAGTTGCATGTGATAATGTTTTACAAATGAAAACTATCAAAATAAGCTTGTTAGAAATGACTCCTAGATTATTCAAACTTTTTCTTATCTAGGGGGTGTCATTAGTTCGGCTAATCTTTGTACTGAGACCATGAGTGCTTGCAAGGATGAAAATTATAAAAAGAATTTACCTTAATTCGTTGCACTTCAAATTTGATATTACGATGCTCATAGCGCCCATCAAATTTTGTATCCCTATAAATGTAATTCACAGCGGTAACATGATGTGCTATGAGAGAAAGAATCTCCTCCCTGGTTTTTTCAGCATCATAATTCACCTAAAAACAAAAAAAGAGAAGCATTTGAATTTTACGAAAAACACTGCAGTGTTCGACAATTTTTGTTATGATTCTTTGTATAAATATAATGGTTCATTCCAGGAGCTCATCAAAGTCTGAGCAAGAAAAAGAGCACAAACTGCTCCAAAAACAGGCAAGATAATGGACGATTCAGCCGAAAAGCAAGGATTGATGATGACACTTTAATTAAGTAAACATGATCTGTCCACCTGCAATATTTAAGCAATAAAATGTGTGTAAATAGTGTACAATTTTGACAATAGAATCTGAGTACTTTAATTTCACCAAATGCTGACGGCAAAAGGTTTGGCGCCAAAAAATAAAAGGTGCTGGCCAAATATGACTCTTAAAAATGTCTTGACTGCATTATCAAAACTCAAGATGACTCGAAAAATCAACTTGATGGCAAAATGGCTCCTAAGCTTTTAAGTTACAGTTAGAGCACCGCTTTGGAAGGTTCAATTCACCTCTATTTACTCATGCTGTCAGCAGTTATTGGTTATATTTTGAGCGTAGAACAGCTTAGAGCTTTACTCAGCCTATAAAAGATAACGACGGTGTAAGTTAGCAATCACATAACTCGGTTTGCAATGTCACAGACTTTCTGTCATACTTCATTTTTCGAACAGAAAACTACTCAACAGCAATTCTTTTAAACTGCCATGATAGTTCTTCTCTGTGCGAAGAAAATTCTGCAAAAACTTCAAGGAATGAAGTCAATTTGTTCTCCTTCAAAAAAATAACATAGAGGCGGAGATTTTCAGACACCGCAAACAAGATACGTGATTGCGGACTTACACTGTCGATAACTTTTGTTACAGAATGAGCATCTAAATACTGCCAACAATGAGAGTGCGATATCTACGAAAGTGAGTGGGTACCTGCTCTGAGATGTGCCTCCAGATCAAAGGATCTGTTTGAATGAAGAGTGAGCAAGTATTTCTATTTTCTTCCTTCGGGCGAGTGGCCCTTTTGGAGCGGTAGTGGTTGGCCTCCTTTGAGTATTTATTCAGGGGTGATTCCCACTTGTCCTCCGAGTCTGATGACTGAGGAATAGCATTGCTGGTAATGTCGTCCCTCCCTGCTGGTTTGCGGTTTGGATTCGACAGCATGTCGCTGGTGTCATCAAAGTCTTCTTCTTCTTCCACTGCGCTGTTCTGCACAGAGGACATCCACTGTGCCACTGACTCTGTGACCCCACAGCCTGACGGGTGACCTGTGACCATAATGAAAAAATTAAGAAATTAGGTTTAAACATAATTAAAGTTGCACATATTACATCTTAGATGATTTTAAAACAGAAGATAAAAGTGGGTCGAAGATGCTTTTTCTTCCTTGATTAGCCTAGATGTGTTCTGTACCTTCTGCCATCACCGGTAAAAATGTTAAAAATTATCTAAGCGTTAGATTTTAACGAGGAAAAACAAGTTTGGAGCAGATACGAAGGCCCATGAACAAAAAATCAAAGAGAACAGTGAACTCATTAACAGAATGCGTTTTTAATATCGCGGAACTTAACAAAGTGATAACAACAACAAAACGGATACATTTTTTACACAGAAAGAGAATGGGTGGAGATGTGGATTTAAACTTAGATTTAATTTTTCTGCGTCAACCTACTGTAACACTACTCTTCACAAACATAAAATGCATAATTGGCACTCACCATCTTTTAATTTAAAAAAAAATCGTAAAAGCTGTTACTTAATTTTGAAAATTTATATTGAAAAATTCACGCTTGAACCACTACACCTAGCAGAAGGGTGAGTTTTTCAATAAAAATGTCCAAGATTAAATGAATTCATACTTGGTTTTTCTCATTTTTTCTCAGTCTTTTCATACTTCCTTGTGCGTTGTTCCTTCACAGAACTTGACAGAAAAATTTTCATGATTATATACTTGAGCAGCATTTATAGTCAAGGAGTAAAATTCTTGGATGCATTGAGAAAAAATGTATCTGAGCTTGAAAATCAATCGCAAATATGTGGTTCCTGAAATATCCAGAGAATTGGCCTTGATGAAAAAAAAGGCGCTTAATCGTCATATGCATCAATTGTATTGAAACTCTTGAATTTGCTGGTTCAGAGAGGCGAAATTAGCATTTCTCCTTCCTTCATAAATAAGGCATTGTTACAAGATCAAATTGTCAAGATTATGCCAATAAGGAGCTCTCACTGGGTGGAGTGTGAGTTGAATTAACCACATAACTTTGTCTTGATCCTCAGTTTGAAGATGTGACAAGGGCTGATATCGGTAATAATATGACTATAAAAGACTAATATCAAACCTGCCTATTCTCTTATTAGTGAAAGAAAAAAGGAAGAAACAGAGAGGCAGATATTTCAGTCACTTACCCTCTCTAACGTGTTGATATGGATCTTCTACATCTGATTCTTTATATATGATTGAATGAAATGTGTTGTTATGGTCTTGCGGGAAATACCTAGATGTTTTCTCGATGTAGTAGGCATCTCCATTGGACGATATGATTTTGCCCTCAAAAACTCCATCCAAGATTGAACCAAACACATGACTGTCAGGTTCACCTGCAATATAGAAAATTCAATTTCATTCAAATATACTCGTCTCTACAAGTTACTTGAGATATTAGATACATTAGAGCTCATGCGAACGAAACTAAATGTTTACTAAAATTGTTTCATAGAAATTTCCGATAGGATAAAAAATACTTATTATGCAATGCCAATGAATTTTGTCGCGAGTGAGTAAGAAAAAATCAATTATACTTAAGTATGAAAGACTACAGATTAAGAGTGCGCCTGGAATTTTGGGTGTCATGGGGCCCCTAATGACTAGGGAAACGCAGCGCCTCAGACCCCTGAGCGCTAATCCAGCCCTGGGCACCCTTTTTCATTCTGATATCGAATTCTTGATCCCCCCAGGAATGTAGGTTTTCGATTGGTTAAAAAATCCTGCAACCTTCAGCTACTATTGAATTGGGTTATGGTGGAGGAATGGGTCAGTTGCGCTGGTCACAGAATCGTGTTATGATGCTTGATTCTTGCAGATTAGCTAAAAATAATCAGATCTGTCCAAACAGCAACTTTTTACGTTCAATAGTAACAGAGATATCACGCTTAGAAAAGCTCGGTTTAGGACGTCATCCACCGCGGAAGTGACACCCTTGGTTTCTTCAACCTTGCTCTCATCCGAGTTTTAAGTTGAGTAACTAGTGCAAAAGTGCGTCACACTGACTGATGAAAGAAAGGTGGAAGAAACCAGTGGTGCCACAACCGCGGTGGATGACGTCAAAAAACCCGAATTTTCAAAGGGCGATATCTCGGTTAATCTTGCGAACGTAAAGAGTTGCTGTTAGGACGGATCTTGTTATTTTTAGCTAATCTACAAGAATCAGACATCACACACGATTCTGGGACCAGCGCAACGGACCCATTCCCATTCATTCTTACGGCGCGGCCCTCGACTGACTAGCACACCCTTTCTTGCCCACCTGTCTCTGGTTCCGTTTGGCAGAAATACGTCAATTTGATTTGACAGGGTGTCTACTAAAACAGGCTGGCCAAAAATCAGTACTTTTACATTACTTTTTCAGTACATTCTCAAGATATTCAGTACCTCCTCAACAGAAAAATTCAGTACTTTTTCAGTACCTCCATTTGACAAGATTCGAAAAATTTAAAAAATATGAATTTTTTGCTCAAATGGACCACTAGACAAGGTACGAATTTAAGCATTCTGATACATGTTTCCTAGTCAAAATTTTACGTACAGCACGATTCGCACAACGGAAATTACTTAAATCAACTCCTGGCGAAAATATTAACGTTTTTATTTCACATTGGTTACGAGGAACTTGAACTACCCGCTCACAAGAAACTCAAAGCTTTACGTGAATCAAATCGCTCACTACAACGGTTTCAGCAAGCTTCTCAGTCGAGCAATTTTCATGTCCCACCATGTGTTTTTCAAACTGTAAGCAATTTGCTATAGCTGAGCCAAAGCGTCAAGATTGAGGTTGCCAGATTTGTATATCGAAGAGACTGTCATGATAACAATTAGCGCGCGATGTGAATCACGTAGAGCATTGAGTTTTCATGAGCGGGTGGTTTGAATTCACGTATCAAGAATCATGAAATATCTTTGTAAGGAGTTAATTTCGGTAATTTTCGTTGTATGCATCGTGTTTGACATGAAATTTTGATCAAGAAACATGTGTCAGAATGCTGAAATTCGTACTTCATCTAATGGTCCATTGCGACAAAAATGGTGAAAATTTCGGGCCTTTCAGCAAAATTTCCGCACTTTTTCAGTACTTCCGGCCCGCCCTTAAAAAATCAGCACTATTTCCGGACTTGTAGACACCCTGTTTGGGGTTCTTACCTGCGATGTGTCCGTGGTAGATGTGGGCGGTGTGGTCCTTGTGGTGCGAGGGGACGGCATTGCCGGCCGAGTCCTCGACGACGAGATCGTCGGAAAAAGTCGCGACGTCCCTGCGGAGCCGCAGGTGGAACTTCCGTCCGTGGCCGTCCATCCTCAGCTCCAGCACCCCGGCCCCTGCATCCCCGCGGGTCACCGATCGCCGCGCCCTGTGGTGCGACTGCGCGACGGCCCTCGTGTCGTACGAGAGCTCTTCATAGTGACTGATGTACTCGTTCAACCGCTTAGCTGCAACACAAGAAAGAGAGGGAACATTAGTTAGATCCGGAATCACGCCCACAACATAGGATAAACGACGTAGATACATAGGCGGAAAGGGATGTATCCTCTTTCGAGCGCCTTCATTTTTTTGGATGCAACACGGTCATCCTCAGATTACAAATCCGTTAAGTAAATCATTGGTTGTATCTGGAATCAAGGAGGAGAAGGAACACTAGTTGTATTCGGAATCTCGCTTACGACATAGAATAAACGACGTAGATACATGAGCGGAAAGGGATGTATCCTCTTCCGAACGCCTTCATTTTTTGGGATGCAACACGGTCATCCACAGAGCACGAATAGTGGTATCCACTAAGTAAATCATTAGTCGTCCATAGTAAACGACATAGATACATAAGCGGAAAGGGATATATCCTTTTCCCGAACGCCTTCATTTTTTAGATGCAACACGCCCATCCACTAAGTACGAATAGTAGTATGCCTGAAGTTGATAATTAGTTGTATCCGGAATCAAGCTCATTACACAGAATAAACGACGTAGATACGTCGATAATAAGCGGAGAAGGATGTATCCTCTTTGGAGCGCCTTCAATTTTTTAGATGCAACTTTGCCATCCACAGAGCACGAAAAGTGGTATCCATGAAGTAAATCATAGATCGTATCCGGAATCAAGTCAACAACCCAGAGTAAGCGCCATACTTAGATACATAACGGAGGCTAACGAACAATATCACCTATCTGCAAACTGACGATTTTGCAGAACGAAAAAAAACTTCACCATTTTTGTAATTTTAGGATTGGATTTGCAATGTTTCATACATCGCAGCGTCATTGAAGCGCTTCCCTACCAAACTGCAGAATTTGGAATCTTTTTTTCCAAACGCCATAACATCAAAAATAGGTTTGAAAAAAAAAAAAAAAATGATAGAGGTAGAAAATGCTTAGGCAATTTCAATATTGCTCCAGAAAACGAAACGCAATCCGTTGATCATGAACAGAGATGTGAACGTCCTCCCCACCCCTCCCCTATCCACAGTGACGGCCAGCGGCACTTTAATGATAGCTCGCGCTGAGATAACTCCAGCGTTGCCGCTGTTCTTCGAAAAATAAAAAGGACGACAAAAAAAGGATAATATTCGAGCCAGGTCAGGAGTTCACAACGATGACGGATGAGCAGAAAGGGAAACCACGTATCTCCACTGCGGTGTTTCAAAATTTCCGCTCCTATTTTTTTTTCGGTAAGGCAAATTTATCGCTTGAAATTTTCATAGAATATTCTGCTTACCCAGAAGCAAAATTAGGGAATTTTCTGAGAAGTTACGATGAACAAAGTGATGATGAACAAGTTTTACATAGAAGAAATCAAGTATGACAAGAAGTCTGCAGTATCGCAAATGGAGTTGAGTGGTTCCGCACTTCGGCCATCGACTTGCTGTCCCTCACATAATTCTAGAGTAACTTTCTTTCTAAAATGAGAAAAAACTTGGCCTGTTAAAATACTGGATTGGTACTTTCTTTATGATACACTGGAAAAAAAAACACATTGGATCTAGAGTCCAGACTCTTAAAAACATCGATAAGCAAAAATACTCTTGATTCAATCAGATTTAAGCTTAAATCAAGAACCAAGCCTCTTGATTTGAGCGGATTTCCTTTTGATTTAAGCTTAAATCTGATTGAATCATGAGTCCTTTTTCTTGTCAATGTTTTCAAGAGTCTGGACTCTAGATCCAATGTGTTTTTTTTCCAGTGTAGGGGAGGAGACTTACCGTCATCAGATTCAGAGTGTCTTCTAAAATTTCATTTTGGCTTTTCCTGCTACTTTTTCTGGTATTTTCAATGAAATTTCTTGAGTTTTTGATACTTTTATACTATTCCAAAATTCATCAACTCTCCCAGCTTTTCAAAATTACCGGGAATCCAGGAAACTTCCTTATCAGAGGAAAATTCATTTTGCATCCCTGAGCCTGTTCCTTGTGCTCAATTACCGGTTGAATTCCAACCTTGCCCTTAATTACTTAGATTTTGACCCAGCGCACTGTCTGCATTTTACGAAGCACTTCATTTTTCAAGGTCACTGGAACTGTCTGGTGTTTATCAGTGGCCAGGCGTGAATGATCGACTATCGATATTTCCCCGTTTGCAGCAATGGTAAATAATCGATTATTAAGGTGTTCGTAGCGAACACCCTGTTCATCGATCCTTTTCCTTAGGTTTAAGTGACAAATCAATCGATACATCGCGAAGCACGCTGCGCCGCTGGTGCTTATGACTCATTGTCTGCCGAGGAGTACACTCGTGCACACCAAAATAAACAAAAATCCGACAACATGAGTTAATTCGCAGTGGTGCCGAGTTTTAACGATCTCGTCGACTTGACCTGACTCACTGTCAGTGTCAGTTCTGCCGTGCTAAGGAAAAACGCTGCATGAATATTCGAGAGTCGCCAAATTTTCTCCGATAGTCAGGGATGCCACTAAATCTAGAAAATGAATTCCCTAACATTTCTCAGACACATTTTGGTGAAATTCCCTGGCAATTGAAGAAACGCCAGATGGTCAAAAAGACATAATCGGAAATACTTTTTGGGCAAAATTTGTTGTTCAAAACGTTAAACCCATTCTAGGAAGCAAATAAAGGCGCTGGTCAATTTTTCTCTGACATTTTCGTCACTTTTCCTGACGCTTCAAGGTTTCCCCTGACTTTTTAAAATGCCCTGACATTTCCTGATTCACCCGGTATTCCCTGAATGTGGCAACCCTGTATCTGAGAAATTGGGCAAAAATTATTCATAAGCTTACCCGGAAATTCGAGTTCAGGGTGTACTAAAACCTAGGCTGGCCAAAAATCATTACTTTTACGGTGCTTTTTCAATGCATTCCCGAGAAATTCAGTACCTCTTCAACAGAAAAATTCAGTACTTTTTCAGTGCCTTCATTTGACAAAATCCGAAAAATTTCAAAAATTTGGATTTCTCGCTCAAATTCTGACATTAGTAAAGAAAAAATGAGTAAAATTCCGGACCTTCGTGCTGAATTTCCGCACTTTTTCAGTACTTCTGGACCACCTTTAAAAAATCAGTACCATTTCCGGACTTTCTGAAAATTCCGGACTTGTAGACACACTGACTAGGATATTCGAGTTTTATCAGGAAGTTTGGCAACGCCTGAGGGTTTATACGGCGTTGTTGACTCCATCGAGGCGAACCCGCGGTGGATTTTAAGGGGAAAAGCGACAACGCGGTTGGTTCAATCATTTTCCAACCGACCTTGTGTGAGTCATCGGCTCAAAAATTCCACGCGAGTTACAGTCACTGGCAAATATTAGATTATGCTCAAGCGCCGTCGTCGTTGCTTGACGCGTGCTGTCCATGCAAGAGTAAGGCCACCTCTTTCAAAACAAAACGGTTTCCGATGCAGAATTCAAATGCAACCGTCGCGTTGTTAACAATACGATCGATGTATCAAGTTCTGCAGACGAGAGGTTTGCACCAGCAGCCCCGAGGTTATACGTTTTAATTTCGTTTTTCAGTTTCCAATTTCTTGACTTTCCCTGACTTGCTTCATTTTCCCCCACTCCACACTGCAAGAAAAATTCTTGATTATGGAAAAAGGCCCTCGGCATTTATTGCACTTTTTCGGATACCGAAGACTGAAGTTCACTAGAAAAAAAGTCGCTTGAATCTAGAGTTCAGACTCTTAATAACATTGACAAGAAAAAATACTCTTGATTCAATCGGATTTTTACTTAAATCGAAGAACCAAGCTTCTTAATTTAAGTGGATTTCCTATAGTTATAGAAGCAAAAATTCGATTGAATCAAGAGTATTTTTTCTTGTCAATGTTATTAAGAGTCTGAACTCCAGATCCAAGCACCTTTATTTTCCAGTGTTGCCGAGCCAACGCGATATTCGCGGTATTCCCTGATTTCGCGTATGGGTTCCCTGACGTTTCCAGGTCGCCATATTTTCTCTGACGTTCCAACCTACCAGAAAACCTTGTCCTAAGCAGGTTAAAATCATTGAATGCTTCTATCAAAATCCTCGTTACACTACTCTGAATATCCTCGACTTCACGAAGAAAACAAATCCACAATTACGTGGCCTCAGGTATATCCTGGGTTCGCAAGGATGCAGAAAAGGCAGGATTCAGCAAGAAAATCACACAGGCGGTCAAAACTCAAAATTTTTAAAATTCACTGTTGCAAAAAGCGAAAATTTTCTGCATTTTTCGGTTTTCTTCCCTCAAATGCCGTTTAAGTACAGGGTTGCCAAAAAATTTAGAAAATGCAATTCCCTGACATTTCCCTGTTCTCCCTGACAATCAAAGATACGGTGGATGGTTAAAAAGACATAAATAGAAATATAGTTTTCAGGCAAAATTTGTTGTTCTCAACGTCAAACCCACTCTAGAAAGCAAATTTTCGCAAGCAAAGACATTTTCGTCATTTTCCCTGACATTTCCAGGTTTTCCCTGACTTTTGAAAATTCCCTCACATTTCCCGGTTTTCCCGGTATGCCCTGACTGTGGCATTCCTGCGTTTGTTTCCCGTGGGTAATCCCCACCAAATAGACTTTTGCACGCTTTTCCGGTCGCTGAGCACGCTGCTTCTAGGTCACTCCTGCATTAAAACACTTTCTGACCAGTCCAGGTTTTTTTAAAATCCCTGATCGCTCCCGGTCCCCTTGGTTTGGTCTGGACACCACAGAACACATAACAAGCTGGACACCTAATCAGTTCCATCGAAGGTCCCTAAGATTCACCTGAGGACCCAGGATGACGCAGCAGCGGCCAGATCGAGCGGCTGATTTTCGTCACTACTCTTTCCGCTTGGCGGGCCATGACCCCCCCCCCCCCCCCCNGCTACGCTCACCTTTCGTGAGGACGAGAGATCGGCGACGCACCACTAAACACCGGCCGCGGGTCACTATTTCCTGCTGCCATGCCGTCGTCGCCGCAGGTCCGATACTTCACTTATCGGGAATCGTGTGAAAAAACTTAAAAAT